GAAAAGGCAGAAACACAAACAGGGCTTTCTAGGACACTGATGAAACAAATAAAGGAGATGAGGTCGAAGAGAAAAACACGACTATTGGCTGCTGGTGAGTGACATCAGCAGAGTGTGACACAGAGCCAAAGCTGATTAAGGAAAAACTGGAAATGGATTAAGAAGAGAAAATGTGGTTAAAAGATGCTTGAAGGAAAGTCACTCTGTCTGTGTGAAGTAAACAAACATATTATTGTAAAAACATGGCAATAAGTAAAAGGATGTAAGGTGAATAGACAGCTATGCATATTAGAATTCCAACAGGGTGAGCAACACTTTTCTTGTCAACACTTTATTTTCATTACATCTTAACTTTATTATCGTAATATTATAACTTTACTACCACTTAATTTTTTTATAACAGTAACACTTCAATCTCATAATACTCCAACTTTATTTTTTGTTAAAAAAAAAATCTTTTTTTTTTCAAAGAAGTGTCCCTAATACTCTGTTGTACATGAAAAAATATTGGCTTGGTTTAGCATTGCTTTGCTAACATCAGTTAGTGTAACCAAAACATATATTAACTATAACTATATAACTAACTATATAATAACATTATTTAGATAAATTAATGGAAAAAAATCACCCCCTTACCTCTTAACACAGTTGAATTACTTGTATTTGTGGACGATAACACCTTTAGTGAATTGCTTTCGGACCTCGACGGCCACCGTTGGCACAGTAACAGTGAGGTTGGTGAGGAAGAGTTTCATCCTAGTGTCTGTCTGCTGGTTTTTGCTAAATATCCTCTGTCTACACACTGCACCTTTAAAAGTTCAGTGTTTACAAATGGAGATTTTTTTGTGATAACTGCCATCAGATTGTAGATTGAAACTCGCCGTTGCTAATTTCTGCCTTACATGGAACAATGTTTGCCTCTGAGGACAGGAAGGCCCTCTGATGAAGAAGTATAATCCCTTATTTGACAAGTTTGTACCATTAAAAACATCTTTAAATATAAATTCTTCTGTGTAAACCACCACTCTTTTCTCTTTTCTTTCTACAAACCAACTTACAAAACACTAACACACATTTGTTTCTAGTTTATCCTTTAGTGTCCCATCATTGAGGACCACAACAGGTACAGAGAGGCCATGAGGATCATCAACAGCATCTCTCAGAAGAAGATTTTCTTAGTCTGTGGAAGACGGCTGGTGGGTTTTCTTTTTGCGTTCCTTTTTTTACTTACAATGGCTATATTTTTCTGTATGTAGAAGACATACAGTTTTTGGACTAAACAGCTTGACGCTGGTTATTCCATGTGTCTTATTTGTGGAAGTAGGGTTGATGATTCAGTTATCTTTGTGGAGAAAAGATGAGACGAATTTTGTAGAGAGGGAGATGAAAAAGGCCATCGGCCAAGCAAACTTAATTCTCTGCAAGGAAAGGCTGTTAATGGGATTTTTTCCAGCTCAAAGATCAATCTGGTGTATGTTTCCTTGGAAGATTGTAAGCATGAGTTTACAGAATCCTTTCCAGAGCAGGGAGACACTGAGGAAATCTTTCAAAGAGCTCTGAAGTTCTTCTCATCAGGGTATGCAGGTTGTCTGGCAAAAAGAAACTTTCCCTTTCCCCAGCCTAGCTCCCCCGGCTCACCTGGAGGAAGGGGTATGTTTCTGTCAGTACGTCTCCTGGCAGCTCAGCAAAGAGAAATGGGAATAGATGAAACATGACAAAGTCGAAATAAACTGCATTATTAGGGCCACGGGGCAAACGCACTGAGGCACTGGTAAAAGTATAGGGGGGTAAATCAGTAGCTCATGTCAGAAAAAAAAAGAGAGACCATCCAAGACTGGTGCACATTCCTCTTTATTGAGTATACTCTGCACATTGAAGCAGTGGCATTTATACTGTCTCTACATTTATACTGGCATACTATTGATACTGGTTGTATAGCTGTGTACCTTTCTTCATGTTACACTATTTTTTGGGGTTATATTCTCAGTTTGAAGGTGACATTTTGTCAATGTAGTCTGGTGGCACAGCTTTTTGTTTCTTTCTGACATGCTGGTGATTAACTGACCACTACAGAATATTCTGAATGTTGCATAGCCCACCTTTTAATAAAGGGAGTTACTTTTTTGCTTTGAAATCCTCTTCAATGCGAAGTGCAATTTGTAAAATGTTTGTTCTTGTCTCTTTTCATGCTGTTTAAAATGTCATTTTCACCAATAAACCCAAATAAATCAGGGTGCTGTGCTTGTTTCTTTGTGTCACAGTTGAAGAAGAGGTGCAATCAGAGACTGTATATAGAATGGACACCGTCTGCCTCCTCGCTGGGTGAAGCCACTGAGAGAACAGCACCCTCTGGTGACGGGCTGCAGTATAGGTCATAAATCCCACCTCCTCCAGCAATCCCTATGGGGCTGTGGACAAACTTTAGAAATGAATTACACAGAATATAATTTTTCCCCCCTGCTTGTGATGTTGACATGTAGTTACTGTTAGACTGGTTTGAACTCAAGTCCTTTTTTTCTGTAAAGCTTAATTTTTAACAATTATTAAGGGGTTCATGTTTTCTATGCCTGACACTTGATATAGCCTATGGGCGTACGAAGATTGCGTTGTTTCCTTGGGAGAATCGCTGTCTAAGCAGAACGTCTTCACAGCGATTCTCCCGCCGAATGGGTACAACAAAATCCCAGTAATTCTGAGAGCAATTTAGCTTCAAATTCAGAAGGCGGAGCCAAGTTGTCCATGGTATATACAGTTTATGGGCGTAATACTCAATGGAAACATGGTCTAGAACAGATAACACAAGAATAAAACTCTGCTCGACCTGCAGGTCCCTAGGTTTGAAAAGATCCTCAAATGGGTGACAAGTTTTATTTCCAAAGTTTAACACATTAGACAGCATCATATAGTGAATGGAAAGAGTTTATCTGTTATTTGTGATTGAAGAGACCTCACTGGTTTTCCTCAGAGCGCACCTACATCCAGAAAAGCAAGTCTGTTTCACTTTCTCAGTTGCTGTAAATCCTGTTTTCGACAGAAGTTTGTTTTTGGTCATGGAGCAGCTATTGGTGCCATTTGCGTCCACCCTCTTAAAAATTCTTCCCTCGAAGTCCTTTTCTCACAGTCTGACTTGATGACACACTAGACAGTGAAGTTATGAGGAAGGCTTTATATTAGTCTCATCGAGGAAATCGTTGATCAGTGTCTCTTCAACTCTTTACTCTGTGGATTTCACTGGTATCAGGAGATGGGTTGTAAGACGCATTTGTCTTGGTGCTTTGCCCAGCATTTTTTTTTTTTTCAGAATAACTGGGCACTAAAGAAAAAATCAAACCCTTCAGTGTTTCAGCTTACATAACAAACAGTCAGAGGACTTTAAGCCCCTGTAGGGAGTTTTTGACTAATTATGGAACAAACTGAAATTTACGACCATGTTATGTCTAATGACCCACAAAAGCAAACAAGACCATTAGAGACAAGACTGGCAGTTTTTGTCCTGTCATTTTCAGTCTCTTTACTACTGAGGAAAAAGACTTTTCATGCTTTTACTACAACAAATATTCAAAGGAAAGTACCCACAGGGAGTGCCACTATTATCAAATCCCCGAAGCTTGTCTCAGGAGATTAAATAACCTAGAAATACCCTCTAATGTCAATAGTTTACATACTACACATCTTCGCACTTAACTGGTTAGAGAAATAATTTGCATGCCTGACATGGTTTGCGTCTGAGTGATGGCCGACTTTTTTCAGGCATAACAGTGAAGCCAGTGGTGTGTAATCAGAGGTAGTACACAAAGTAGGGGAGACCAGGGCTTGTTGTCACATTGGTAAGTTGTCACATTGCAATTATCTTTGCCACCAGAGGGCGCAACTAAAAAGTGAAATACTAGTTTTCTTCTTTTACATGGTCAGGGGTTGTATCCTGTCTGAGAAGAGAAGAGCACATTGTGAGCAGTTGTCATAATGAAATTTTGACTTTTTTTTTTACAGAGAGAAAAGAGTAGTTTAAAGGGGAGGAAAAAGTGAGAGGACATGGTCAGTAATTAAAATGGAAAAACAAAACGTGGGAGTGCAGTACCTGACGTGATGCTGAGGACAGTCAGGCAGGTGATCCTAGCTAATAAATCAATCTGAAGTACAATAAAGGATTTTAATGTCAACTACCATAGCTTGGCTCAGTACTGCAAAACATTCACCCCAGCTGAAATACAGAGTCAGACAGATCTCCAAACTCCAGAGCATGCGGCATAATATTTTATGTTAATGTTTGTTTAATGACATTTTTCTAGCGCAATGATAAACATTTTATGTGGCTGACTTTGATGTCCACTTTCATGTAAAAAGATGACATCAACAATAATTTTGTCTTTGTTTTATTACCTGCAAAATCCACTGTGACATCTTACCCCATGTAGTTAGACAACTTACCCGATTGGGGGGCAACATGTTACACTCTCTATTTGATCACTTATAACTCTGCACTGACACAAGATATGAAAATGACATGAATATGAAATATCTACCCCAGACTTTGGTCTTTCATCTGGTACACATTTTGTTTAATGTATTGATTACAAGAAATATACAAGAGTGTAAAAAGTGTGACAACAAGCCCCGGTCTCCCCTACCTCAGATATGGTTCTATCTCCACTACCTGCATGAACAAACTTCCAGAGAGCATGTAAATCTAGGTGTGTACCAGTGGCGGCTGCTGGTCTTTCAATGAGGGGAAGCTCATTTTTCTGGCCTACATCATAATTGTATTTGTTTATTAGTATGTAACAGAACAGAGTCGCCAAACACAACGGCAGTCGTTTTTAACAAAGACAAAAGTCGCTGAGGATCGGTAAAGTCTCTGGAGCAGTTAAGAACAACGGAATGAATGACTTGGAAAATGCTCTGGTAGATGTTTTATTCTTCAAGATCGCTGATTCGCTTGTTTAGCTGTCAATCAAAAAAGGATTTCGCCTCAGACAGCTCATCCAATCATGAATGCAGAAGCTTGGAGTCCGGGAGAAAGTCGGGACCGCCCTCTCGCCATAGAACTCCAGTGAAGCTTAGCTTCCATTGGGCGGGACAAAGCCCAGCATTTATCCAATGAGCGTCTAGTTTCGCTGCTGGAACAACCCACTTTAAGCTTCCACATTGAAGTCAGCAGAAGCCCAGCGTCCGACTGTTTGAAGCACTGAGGCGCTGCGAGGATGAATGAGAACGAAGTTATGCCGGTTACCTGTGATTATCAGCTTCTTATCACAGTGTCTGAACAAAAGATGAAGGCTTTCTAGTGCGTATTTAGTTAATGAAATGTATACACAGCAGCACGTATTTCACCACTTTTTCTTTTTTTGGGGGGGTGACATTTTAAGGGAAGCCGAGCTTCCCTTGCAGTCTTAGAGCAATCGCCACTGGTGTGTACAAACATATTATACACAGTTTTTATTAGAGAAAGCTCAGCAACACAGCCAGCATAACCATTTCCACCAAAACAAAACACCAAATCTGTTCCCTGTATTAATGCCCTGTATATCGCAAACTCAGCACTTTTTTGAATCAAAGGTGGATCCAAGTTAGATTTTAGCATAGCCCGGAGAGCTGGCTGTTTTTATTTCTAGAGGCAGAGTTTCAAAGTTTTGGTGCATTCAAGGACCTCAGAGATGTAACTGGATCACAGAATGAAAGTAAATCTGTCATAAATGGAGACACAAGGCAGTATAAAGCTTGAAAACAAATTTAAAAAAAAAAAAAAAAGTTTAAAATCAAGTCTCAAAGAAACAGGAGGCCAGTGCAGAGTTTTATGAAGGGGGTTATGTGGTCAGTTTTCTTTCTGCGGGTTCAAACTCCACCGGCAGCGTTCTGAATGAGCTGTCGTTTTCTGGGAGACTTGTCACAGTAATCTAAACAGTTTAAGATAAAAGCATGAATAAAAATTTCTGCATCTGTGTAAAATTTTTGCCCACCTTTGATAATAATACAACATGACTGTTATTCTCTTTTCTGTGCACTGCATGATTTGCAAGCTCATTTGCAAGCAAAATGGAAGTTTAAAGAAAAAACAATCACTGTCATTTCACTGTTCATTAGAGAACCCGGAGTACAGTCCCTTCACCTGTCACTGGTGGGTCTAAGATTGACTTTGACCATACTTCTCAGACCATAAATGCACTGCTAACAGGAACAAGAACACCGAAGTCCAGTCCCTTGACATAGACTCTTTTTTTGGTACACCCTGTTCATAGAGATGGACGATTATCATCCTTAAGGCACAGCTTGTGTGATTGTGGTCATTGTGCCGCTGCAGAGTTTCTCATAAAAGACTCTCTGTGTGTGTCATCTTCATTTTTAGAGTCTAAACTCTGAGAGTCACCGCCTGCCTCCTTGGGGTCAGTGTGAAAAGAAATTAGGTCAAATCTCGACCTGCTGCTGACACATTTACAGTAACATGTAGTGAAGAGGGGTCTGTTAGATAACAAGATCCATAGAAAACATGTCAAGTGACAAGTGTTTACTGTGAGTGACTTAATCAGTGTGTGGGGTAAGAAGGACATCTGGCTCTCATCGCTGGCTTATGTAAATGCCCCAGTTTGGACTGGATGAAGTCACGGTCTGAGGGTTTACAAGCAAAACCGTCATAAAAACATGACTTTAAAAATCAACATTCACTGGGAAACAAACATTTCTGCTGATTTTGCTCTTAAACTGGAGGTCAGGTCAGTCCCTGAGCCTGACCTTGGTGGCACTGACATGTTTGGGGATTTAATGTGGGTACTTATGTAAGATAATGTCTTCCTTGGGATTTTGGGAGAACTTGGGACGTAGTGACACAGCTACTTGTCTTTCTGGCAGACAGGAGAGGATTAACTGGAAGTTACTGAGTGTCTCTAAGGAATTTCGACAGGAATTTAAATCAGACTTCTATTTTTAGAGACAGATGCAACAATCCTAGTGAGCTGAAGAGTGTTTACTTTGGCTAAAACCAAAAATAGCCATGAGTAAGAAACTAATGAAGGTGTGACAGATCTTAATCTGGCCCAGAGGGACAAAAAAAGCCTTTGTGTATGTTGCTCATTTCTCTGAAACTTATTTGGAAATGAGGGTTGATACTGTAATCTTGGCACACTCATCTGTGAATACCTTGTCTTGTTTATTTAACTGGTCAGTTTGTAGATAGTCTGCTCTTCTCTTGTTGTCTCAGCCTCAAAATCCTTGCAGAGAAATAAACAAGAAGAATAATTAAGATTATACAAGCAGCTGGAAATAATGAGCTCGACTTGAATGAGTTAAAGCCGTGAGAAAACTAAAAATCAACAAAAGTGGGCTCAGTCAAGCCAGATGCTAAATGTCAGTATTGGCTGTTTAAAGGAGGAAACATAAACCTATTACTGCGCATTCTGCAGAAGGTTGTCTTGTGAAAAGAAAAGTTGCCTTAAAAAAAACTCTGTAGTCCATTTATTGGCACATCTTGGTAGGAGCCACATCTTGACCACAGAGGGTGATGGTGCTCATGGGATATGTAGCCCTCATCACAGAGGAACATTATTGATTTCTCATGAAGAGGTCACCAGAACTGACGCAATATGAGACTCCTCCCAATACATTCAGATTTATGTGGCCCAACATTTTCTTTCTATAACAACATCATAATAACAGTTTTGCAGAAGTCTTGGAGTGCTGCTGGGCTTTGGTATTAAAGGGATATTCCAGCGTAAATTTAAGTTATGGTTAAACACACCATAACACCAAGTTAGACACCCCCTCGAGAGATTGATGTTTCTTAAGCAGACACCAAACACAACTCACCCACTCTCCTTCAGCAGTAGCTTGTTTGAGGGGGAGCCCTGACGAGTCAAGCACCGAGTGCAGTGGAGTTTTTCAGCTCAAGGAAGAACATTTGTGATCATTATTTCATGGAAATGCAATCAGACGCTAAGGCAGAAGAACTCTGCAGTCTGCAGTGCAAAATGATGATTGTGATGATTATTACTTCAAGGAAATGATCCGCTGCACTCTGTGATCAACTTGTCAGGGCTCCCCCACAAACAAACGGCTGCTGGAGGAGAGTAGGTGGGTTGTGTTTAGTCTCTTTGCTAAAGAAATCAGGCAAAGCTTAAAGGATGTTTAGTGGCTAGTACTATGGCTGGGACCCTATATGTACTGTTTATGAAGTTAGGTGCTGTTCTGAGCATTATTTGTGGCTATAGAGTGGCGTTTTGGTTGATGTTTGCATATGGAGACTTAGACCGCTGTGTATTGCTATCATACGGTCGTTAATAAAGTTGGTATAACTAGAGAAGCAAGCAGTTGGCAACATTCATAAATTTAATTCACGCTGGAATATCTCTTTCAGAACTGGTTTGTGGATTCTATAGGGCATGTGAATTTCAGTTTCGTTTTTTGGCTTCCAACAACAACAACATAAATCTGCCAGGGCTAAACTCCAGTGAGAATTTGACAGTCTGTGTTGGTGGAACAGTAACAATAAATTTGAGTCTCTGCATTGTATTTAATGTGCTGCAGTCTCCTGTTCACAAAAAAACACCCTAAACTCAACTAGCAGGAGCAGCTGTGGCAACGTCTCATCACATTCAGACACAAAACGCAGCTGAGATCATGTTCACTTTTACACCAAGGTGGATAAATCATGCTAGAGTGCTTTGAGCTTTAGAGCTCCTGTGTGTAGTTTTGAGCCAGCTATAAAACTAGCTGAATCAAATACACTGTAAATGTCTATTCATAACTCATAAAAGCAAAGAAGAGCGTCAGCATGAAGTAAATGTTTTCTGAATAGGTGTTTGTAATGTCCAAGCTGCTGCAAAGTGACACACTGCAAACAGCATTAGCTTTTTTGTCATGCATGTAAAATGTATGGACAGAAATATATATTTGACTGCTTTGATCATGGTGGGTGCCAAAAACAACACAATCTAAAAGTTCCTCTCAGGAGCTTTAAGACCTCTTAAAGCCTGGTAGCTCGCAAAGCTTACAGACACAAATCTCAAAAACAAACTATTAGACAGATTACTTGTTTTGAAATGACCGTCATCTGAAAACTATTTGTTCTGCAAGTTATTTTGTTTCCTAGAATTGACCTTGTACAGAAATAGATGACACACATTGTCTCATATTTTGTCCTCTTACTCTGTCCCTGATCTGTTAGCTCACATATCTGACACATTTTATTTTGTAAGTTTCTGGGAAGAAGCTGAAGGCCTCCACTGGTAACCAGGACACTTTGACTCATTGTTTCACAATAAAATTGTGTGTTTGTGCCTGAGAGTGAGTTTATCCTGTACACCCCGCTCTCTGCTGGAGGCAAAGTGTTTTCTGAGAAGCGCCCGGGATCTTTCCGCAGAAACAGAAGTGTAGCATGTCCAAGATCACCTGCTGGGTTTCCCTGCGGTTTCATAATCTTACACTCACCTCAGTCACCCCTCGCCTTGTGGTGTCTCTGATCGTGTTGAACAGTTTTAACCGACAGAAAAACATAGTGTGACCCCTCTAGTTGCACTTAAAAATAGGAGTCTTGGGGTGCCAGTTTGGTCTGGTGACTCATGCACAGGGTGGAGGCCCTGCAGGACGCTAGAAATAAACCCAAGCAGAACAAAGGTACACATGTTTATCACTTATATTGCGCTGCACTGCAGGGCTGTGGGGTTTGATTGTAATAATGTAGATATGGTGCAGAACAGAGCTGTAAGTTGCATTTAGGGGGACATCGGATTTCAGGGTCTGTACAACCAGAGTCTGAAATGTTATAATTGTGGAATCAGCAAACCAAAATACCAGAGGATAAAATAAACCAAGTGTTTATGCAGAGCCAAGATACATAACCTTCCATGAGCAAAAGGACTCTATTGATTTATAGGGCGGTAGATATGACGTAAACTAACCAGAATAATCTGTGCTGTAATGTTAATTTAATGGAAGAGAAGCTTATGCTGAAATATGAGGAAAACAGATTGAAAATATCCAGTCCAAACCAAAACTAAAGCACGTTTCAGCAAATTAAATTGGATTTTAACCCTGAATTATATGTGACAACTCGTTTATAAGCCAAAGATCCTTGCTCGCACGCTTAAGATCCGGTGTCCTCCTCTAGCCATTCAGAACTACTGCTGAAGAAAAATGACAGTGTGAGTTATGCAATATGTAAGAATCCTAATGCGAGTTTCGTGTTTCTTTTTATACTGAACAAAGTTATACAATTTATATAATTATATGTAACATATGCAGGGAGGTTATGAATGATGGCTGAACTTCATCTATGAAGGCTTTGTGAAGGTAACCATTGAGAATAACTTGCGCTGACCCAGATTCACCGTTTTGTGTCACCGCTTCTGTTTTATAATGTGGATATTTTTGACCTTGAGACATGGCCTCAGTAATACTGACTCACAAAGCTGGTCATAGAATTGTATTTCATTACTTATTGTAGGTGAGTTCATGAAGATCTTCTGTTCATGCAGAATGAAAAAAGGTTTCTCCTGATTAATGATGAAAATTGCTTTTATATATGTAAAAATGAAATGATTGGAGGTTCAAGAACGTTCTCTACAGCCCTGCAAAGTGGGGGTGATGACGTAAATGCATTAACAGAGGACTTTCTGTGTCCTTGGGCAGTGTAGCTGGATCAGTAAAGTGAGAGTTTTCTCTTATTTTCCTTCAATAGTCTGGACGAGAAGGAAAGGGTTTTTGAAATCCAGCAGGGACAGGAGGAAAAAACTAGACGTATCAACACAGAGGAAAGTTTGTGCCAGACTCCTGGCAGCCTCTGTCATTCCTCTCCTCGGGGATTAGCTGAGGTTTCAGGGTGACTGAAAGGACACAAAGCTGATAGTTGGAGAGTTGAACATGTTGTCTAATCTTCTGTGAAAACCAAACCAAACACTGATTTCAAAATGAGATATCCTCAGGGCTGACTCAGAGGTATCATATAGTCTTGATTATTATTCTCTTTCTCTCTTTTTCTAGATGAACTCTGGAGTTGTTCATTTCCCCTCAGAACATCTTTGTTTAGTTAAAAAAGGAGCTGCTCTCATTGAACCTTTACCTTTGAACTACTTAAATCAGTGTGCAGGCAGGTAGATGCTTAGCAGGTAACAAATAGTTTAGTGTTAAGTAATTTTTATTTTGAGTATTTTATGGTTTTATTTTCATCAGGCAGATATAACAAGAAGTGGTCTCATCTTACATCTAGCTATTAAGGCTGTGCGATAAATTTAAAGCAGGTTTTAATGCGAACCTACTAGCAAAAGGTGAAGATACTCAGAAGGGCTGCAGCCGTGCAGAAATCTTCACAAGCTGTTTTGGAGAACACAATACACAACAGCTGCAGCTAAAAAGACACACTAGTTGAGTAGTCTTTGCAATACAGTTAAAGAGATTTCCCAGACTTGCAAAGCTGGTATGCCAGTATCACCAAATACCAGCCAAGGCCGTGTGAGTAAGAGCGGGGATTGTTAATTTTCATTCATACTGATAACCTTTTTTGGGACTCCTTAAGAATTTGAGAGCCCATCAACACCACCATCTAAGGCTGACTAGAATTCATGTGCAAAGAAAAAAGTGTTTTTTATTATAAGAGACCTTCAAAAACTGTTAAGGGAACCCCGCGAAAAAGGTTTTAAGGTGGACTCAAGTGTCGGAGTAACTGCTAATGCCATCACCCCGCCATTTACATGACTAATGGCCTTAAATGAAAAAGACAAAGTACAGCGGTGTGGTGGTTAGCAAGGTTCTGGGTTCGAATCCAGGTCAGGGCATTTCTATGTGGAGTTTGCATGTTCTACCTGTGTCTGTGTGGGTTTACTCCGGTTTCCCTCCACATCCCAAAAACATAAAGATGTGGGGTTGGGTTAATTGTTCACTTTAAAATCTCTATATATATGGGGTGACAGTAGCTCAGGAGGTAGAGCAGTTGTCCAATAACCGGAAGGTTGGCGGTTCGATTCCCCCCTAATCCAAGTCTGTCTGTTGTGTCCTTGGGCAAGACACTTAACCCACCTTGCTCCCAGTGTGTGTCCTCCACTGGTGTATGATTGTGAGTGTTGTGTGGTGGTGGTCGTAGAGGCCGTAGGCGCAGAATGGCAGCCACGTTTCCGTCAGTCTGCCCCAGGGCAGCTGTGACTACTAAGGTAGTTTACCACCACCAAAGTGTGACTGTGTGAGCGAATGAATGATGTATCCAATGTAAAGTGCTTTGAGGGTCTCTGATAAAGCTCTATATGAAATCTGATGCATTATTATTATTATATGTCAGCCCTGCGATGAACTGGCGACTTGTCCAGGGTGTCCCCTGCCTTCGCCCCAAGATGCTGAGATAGGCTGCAACCCCCAACGGGGATAAGTGGTAGAAGTTGGATGGATAGAAAAAGCTGAAGTATTTTTGGTGTCTTGAGTTCACCATTCATCTTTTAAATAACAGACTTCACTCATGGCGATAATTTGATAGTCATTTTATTGAACAGAAGACAAAACGCAAAGTCAGTGTTAAAATGTGGTTCTTCATGTTAAAGCATCGAAGCTCATCACTAATAAAGTGCACTTTCAGTTTTTACACTCAGTACATCTCCTCCTACATCAGATCCCACCTGCTGCAAGACTCTGCACCTGAGCTCTGTAAGCTGAGCTCGATCACAGTTATAAGACCAAGTGCAACAACTGAGCGTCTCAGTGAGGGAGAGTGCATAAGTGTTAATGGAAGATCAGCGAGTTACAAGTCTCCTTTCTGTTCCCCCCCGATCCAGGGCTCTAAAACCACTAAGACTACTCCTGCTACTGTTTACACCCTGGCTCAGTTCAACCCAGAAAAATGAACAATATATGAAAGGTGATTGATTATGTAGTCAAGTGATTGTATAAAGTAAGAGTGATTCAGAACAGGGTTTGTAATGATCAGCTAAAGTCTTTGAGTGTTTTTACATTTTAATGTTTTCTTCGCTTTAAAAAAATATTTTCCTATATCCAGAAGTGTTTTGTTTTCTACATCATATATATGTACAGTTGTATCTTTATAAAGACAATAATGTTCTGTTCAAGACCGCAGCAAGGCCAGTGTCGACTCCAGTTTGGCACGTTTTCCTCACGACTTCACCCAGAAACAAACTCGACACAAACACAGCGGAAACAAATGCAGACAACACCTTAAAACTGTGCTTCCTTTAAACAGACGCACACTCAGTGACAACCTTAATGCCAAAAATATTGGGACACTGTGTAAAATGTTTATACAAACAGCATTTGATGGTTTGAAAATCATATGAACCTTTCATGTTTCATTCAAAAGAGTGCAAAGACTACTGAGCTGAATCATCTCCTCTTGAAACATGTTTACACAGTTTTAAAAATGCATTTGTGGATGCAGCAGCAAACTGTTCACAGACAATAGCTCTTGACAGTGACTTTGGGCCCATACGATGAGTTCCACTTCAGAGCCATATCCGTTTGCAATGCACTGCTGCCTTCAGGCAAGGGAGGCCAACAGATAAGTTCATAAACATCACTAATAGATGCAATTCATCTTTATGTAATCAATTTCTAAGGAAATTCAAATTCATCATTTCTGTGCATCACCAGGCCTGTGACCAACTCTAATTTGGAGATGGCACATACGATAATTGTTTGTTTCAGTTACTTCTGAATTTTTTTAACTGTACTTCAATATAAAAATACACTATTTTCCATAAATAGCAAGTTATGGAATTAAGTCAAAACTGTGCAAGACTGATAACAATTCATACATTTTAATCGATCAGTGATGCAAAAAGTTCAAACTTTAATGTTCCTTTTGGATTCATAATAAATCTCTGAATGTCTGTTTTTGAAAGTGCTAAATCATCTGTCTGCTACAGCTAGCTCACTATTAGCTGCTGCTTCTTTGAGACTCTCCTCTGTTTTAGCTCATTTTTTAGCATATCAGTATTTCTTTTTTTTTTTTTTCGTCTAAAGACTGTTATTATTGGTTACAGGTACATTACAACATTACTACAACAGAGGTACATTATTCTGAAATGGTTGAACTACTTCTTCACGCAGTTTCTCACAGAGGTTTTAAAATACTCAGTCATGTTATAAACCTGCTGCAGTTATCCTCATCAGCTGAGAGATCTTTTTTTTTTCTTTTTTCCAGCATTATACAACCTTCATTGTTTTACAGTTTCAACTTTTGATATGTTATCTTTGCTCTATTTTCAATCAACAGTAGGCATTAAACGATTCGCAAACTATCTCATCTTTCTGTTTTGAACCAACATTTTGCACAGTGTCCCACTTTTTTGGAACTGGGTTGTTAAATCAATCCTACCTCTACCTTATTCATAATGAGATGTCTTTGACATGATTTTTCCTCTGATGTGTAGCAAACAGGAATGTGTTTTACATGAAAACAAGTCGTCTGATGTCGGGCTACTCTACAGGGCACAGCCTCATAGCTTGAGGCATGAGCTAAGGAGGAAAATCAGCTACAGTACAGGGGACATCTTATGAATGAACATTGAAGCTTTGGGAATCAAAGGTGCTACAAACCTTATGACACACGTTAACGTCATTAGAGTCAGATACAAATAAAAATGAAATTAGACACAGGTAATGTAAAAAATAAAACAATGTTAAAAACAAAACAAAAAAAAAAGCTGAATATCTGTATAGATAGGATCCCAGTCGGCAGTGACATTTTTCTTTAAAATTTGAAATCAGGAGCATACGATTCACAACAAACACATCACTGGGAAAAGATCAGCTGCTAAGAAAAACATCTTCCACAAACATTTAATAACTTCATATCAGTCTCACTGGGATATCCACACTGGATATCTTCATCTCTTTATTGCACTCTTCGTGTTTTCATGCTTTTTAGTGGATCAGGGAGTTCTGAGCTTCTTTTTTTAATTTTTTTAACATGACTCATCTTAATGTGGTTAACTTTTCATCAAAACTGAAAACTGACTAAAGACAATTTTTTATCAGCTTTCTTTATTGGGTTGGGTGTCTCTTATGTAATGCTCCTCCTAGTCAGAGCTTTGATAAGAGCATCTTAAAGAAGAGTTCTGGTAATTTTAAACTTTGGCCTTGTCTGGTGAAACACTTCATAACAGAAGGTCTTTTATTCAGGAGTCTTTCTATAAAAGTGTAGCTGAGGACTTCTTCAAGAGCTCCTCCAGCACAGTTGTTATCAGAAAAGTTCAGCTCTGAATTTAACTCGTCTGCTTTCTCCTTGCTCTTGAAATTGAACAGAACACTTTGCCTTGTTCTTTTATATAAATAACATCAAAATGAACTAGTGAATGCACTTGCAGCGCTCATTGATAAAGATGTGTTTCTTTCCTCTACATGCAGCTGTCTATAAACGTTTCTGCTGCTATGCTCAGCATCACATGCTGCATTTATAAATTCTGTTATGATGAGTGGAAAATGCAGTTTAATATTGCCTCTGAAATATTTATCGCTCATTCTCTGAAATGTAAGAAATCACATTTTACCACTTTCCAAATTCATTAAAAGTCAATCTAAAACAAGTTATTGGCTAAAACAACAATATAAGTAAGATTCAATTTGTGTGAAACCATAAATGATACTACTTTTTTTCCTCTCTTTTTTTAAACCCAAATATTTTTCTTATTTTTTTCTTTTATTTTTTTGTAATTACTGGTCTGAACAAAATCCAGTATTTTAGCAAGCCACTTTTCTCTGTCTTCAGTTATTTGAGGAAATTTTCATTCAAGTTTAGCGAAGTTGTTTTCCTTTTGTCAGTATTGCTAAATAGTAATTTATCAATATCAGCATTATATCTAATAAATCAGGGAGTTTTGACCCACTTTGTCATAATTGGCACCACCATCAGTCACTGAAAAACTGATATTAGTCAGGTTTTCAAAAAAATCACAAAGCAGATAAAAATGTATAAATAATCATGATTAATAGATCTGTTTTTGATGTTTTGTTTAAAATAAGTGTGATAATTATTTTGGCTGTAATCATGTAACCTCATTAAACAGACCTGTGCTAAAGGACTCAGTCATTCAGACCTCATAATATGGAAGAATGAGGCCAAAGTTTAAAAAGACCAGGACAATTCTTTATCATAAAAAGCTCTCTAAAAAGCCACATCTCAACAAAAAAAAAACAAAAAAACTTCACACCTGAAATAAATACATAACATTTAATAAATATGGGATTTCTCTAAATGATAAAGATTGAAGCTGATTCGAATGGAGATCCTCTTGTTTACAGCCGGATCTCCTTCCTGGTGTAGTGTCTGAGCACAATTCTGATTAAAGTAAAATAGCAGGGTGGCAGCAGCTCACAAAATCATCTCTAAAGTCGCAGGAGTTTTCATCTTGTTGCCTCTCTGCTCAGATATTGCTTTAAAACTGCATGAAATCTGACTGTGAGTATTATACAGTGTTCGTCTCCAGCTTCATTCATCTCTCATGACAGGAACAAATCAAACAGGACAGGACCGTGACGGGAAAATAGCCCTAATGAAGGATTTAAGGGGGCGACACACCATGAAAATAGACCTTATATACATAAAAATGATATAGTACAACAGTCTGTATGTGCACCAGACTCTTCATCACACCACAGAGAATCACCTCTGCAGGATTCTCACACAGAGTGAGCACACAGGGCTCCATCTGAGCGTAGACTCGGTTTTTGTTACTGTCATGCTGTTGAGCATTTTTGCTTTTGTTTTTAAAGTGCAGTCCAGATGCAGGTGACATAAAGGCAAGAAGAAGATTACAGAGAGAGATGACAGAGGGGGGAAAACCCAGAGGAGGGAGGATTGGCACGTACGTCTGAGAGACTTTGGGAATGGGAGCAGGATGAGATGAAAAACGGCAGGAGTCTGGGTCTGTCAGGGAAAAGTTAGAAAACAAGAATAAAGAAATGTCTCATCCTTTTCGCTCTCCTCCTGTGTCTCTGATCCGGCTCCAGTCACTCCCTGGACTGGTAGAAGAGGATGTATCCCGACTCAGAGTTCTTGGAGATGTCTGAGGTAAGCCCGTAAAACTCCTCGATGGCCTGGGCGTCAATTTTCTGCACAAAACAAGGAGACGCTCTGTAAGAAGATGTTTCCTGATGCTACCAGCAGTAAGGACAGATGATTCAGAGAACAGGAAGCACATTAACAGGCCGAGAGTGACACACCTCCACGATGTCATCGTCAAACAGCAGCCAGAAGCCGTGACTCTTCACGATGGTGATGTAATGACCTCTGTTTGGGCCGCTGAGGAGACACAGTGACTCTTTGAAGCACAGACATGAAATAATCTATTTGAAACATGTGGTCTTCACTGTTTTTAAAGTCAAAGGACCTTTCAGTGAGGACTGCTGCCCTAAGACCTCCAGAACAGAGGTTTTTGTACGCCTGTAGACTTGCTGTGTTCTTTTAATTTAAGCCTTTGCTAATCTGTTATACAGTCTCTTATTTGTTGATCATAAATCCTCAGTTTTTTAGAGTTTAGAGTGTTTCCTCTGATTTTATTTGGCTGTTTCATGGACACTTGTTTCCACCACTCCTAAAGCTTTTTTGTCACACTTACATGTTTCAAATCATCAAACAAGTTTGTATGTCAGACAAAGATAACCTAAATAAATTTAAAAATGCAGTTTTTCAATCATGATATATACATATCAAAACATCCATTTAAAAAGATGGCCTAGTGGATTAGCACGCAGCAGTCGCGTGTTCGAGTCCGGCCCCAACATGTGCTGCATGTCCTCCCCCCTCTCTTTCTATCTCCCCATACTTCAAATCTGTCCTATCTATAAAAGGCAAAAACTCCCCCCAAAAAAATACTTAACAAAAATTTTTAAAAAAGGATGGATGTCTTGGGGAAATATACAATTTTAACTCCTCCCATACTTTTTATTTTTCCTGCACCAAAAGGTATTTATCTTCACGCAGGACCAAGAGATGTGGTGGTAAAATGCTTACTGGGAGCCACAGTTCCTCCTGCAGATGAAAAAGCCTGAGTCTTGAGATTTAAAAAATCCTCCAGAGCTTAATAAGCAGCTTATTTTCAAGACATGTCATCACTTTGAATCAATCAAATCATTTCCAAATTCATATCTTTCTGCAAAAATTATTACATGGCTACTCATGTAATAATACTGGTATATACTGAGCAGATTTCTCAAGATGAGTTAGACACGAGTTCTCCAATCTCCTATGGCAAACAGCTCTAAATTGTCTTTTGACCAGAACAGAATTAATGAACCCTGTTTTTACACGAAAGCTAAATTTGTATTGAATCTGACAGCACCAGAGGCTCATGCAGATTTTTTATCCCAGGCCTGTAATCAGAAAACAATACCTGCCACAGTGAACCACAACAGCCACCAGATCGTACATGCGATCTAGGTTAACTGCATCCCCAGATGTGTTGAACAGCCGCAGCTCGAGGGGGAAAACCACTCGGTATGAGAGCTTTGTGTAGCGGTGCAGCTGCTCCATGTACTTGAACCTCTTCAGGTGGAGAGCCAGGATCATGGGGAGCTTCTTCACACGCATCCTGCAGGATGGAAGGAAACATGCTTAGAGACTTTGTGTGTTTGTGCGCATTAACACGTTGAACAGAGGTTGAAGTTCAGAGCTTCATCTACCGTTTCTGAGCCTCCTGCTTGCTGCAGCACGTCTCACAGTAGTATTTGTATTCACTGCACAGAGTCTCTGTGTTGCTGAAGTCCCTGGAGAAGAGAGCGTGCCACATAAGGCTGGTTATTTAATCCGCCTCAGACCGGAGAGAAGGTGGTCTACTGTCAGTCTGTGAGCTTTAGATGAATGTGTAATAAAGCTGTCCTACCTGAGACAGTGTGTTATTGATGTGTTCTGCTCCACATCCACAGACAGATCCAGAAAATCCTCATCTTTGCTGCTCACCTATCAGAGAGGAGGAGACTGAACTGTCATTGTCTTTCACAGAGTCAGGGAGGATTACCCTGCGCTCACACACAAACACACAAACACACACACAGTCTTTGAAGTGTGATACTGTGCAGCGTTTGTCTCAGCACTGAGCATCTTTGGTGTCTGTAGAGGTTGTTCAGGGCAACCTGTCCCACTCCTCACACTCAGACTAGGAGGACAAAGCCTCCACTAGCCCTGATGTAAAGTGGGTGGCCTGAGCCCACCAGGGGTGAATCACTGAATCTGCATCTCTCAGCATCTCTGCTGAAGTCTAATCCCTTTCTGAGATTTATTCAGAGGGATTGGTGATCCAGGGCGGCACAGGGACAGATAACAACAGAAAATATACTGCAGCCTTCAACTGAAACCACACTCACTGTTTCACAGTTCAGGCAGCGCGTCTCATTGGTCAGTGTGCCTTGGAAGATGTCATGGACCCATGTGGGCTCTGTTTTGTTCTCCGTCTCAGTCTCTGTGGTGACAGCGGTGCCGTTGTTCTTCAGGCGTCCGTTCTGCTTCTCCTGCTTCTTCTCCTCCTGCAGGATGTCGGCCACCGTGTTCAACAGGTAGTTCAGGAACTCGTGGGCATCCTGCTGCATGTAGTTATCAAACAGATCTGGAGGGAGAGGCAGAGAGACTTAATCCAAGTCAACTACAGTGAAACAAGGGTTTTCGGGTTAATCTGTGTTAGTGATATAAGTGTAAACCAATCATTACACAAGGGACGACGGGTTTGAGTAAACCTCACAGAAAAGACACACCTATTTACAGACCACTAAAACTTATCCATAAGAGTTCAGATAAGAAATAAGGGTAACACTTTACTTGACGTCTATCTCTCTGTAACGCATTATAAATATAATGTATAATGCTTTATAATCATGTTATAGCACTGTATAACAATAGTTATAAACACTCATAAATGATCATAATGCTTTATAGCAATAATCATAACACATTATAAAGCATTTTAACATGACTTACAAGGTCAGGTATTATAATGTGTTGTGCTTATTGTTATAAAGCCTTATGATAATTAATGAGCGTTTATAATGATAGTTATACAAGTTTATAAGCAAATTATAACACATCATAAATATATGTATAATGCATTATCTATGTGTGCATTGTCAGTGAGTTGTTAACAGTTATAACACATAATAATACCTGACCTTGTAATTCATGATAAAATGCTTTATAATGTGTTATGATTATTGCTATAAAGCATTATGATCATTATGAGTGTTTATAACTATAGTTATACAGTGCTATAACGTGATTATAACGCGTTATACATATATTTATAATATGTTATAGAGATAGGCATCAAGTAAAGTGTCACTGAAATAAGATCTCCACTGAAAACTGATATGATGTAAACTGAGAAACTGTAAAACTATATACCACAGAATAGTATTCGTCGAAGTTAAATGAATGAATGGATGTAGGGCTGATCACTTTCAATGCTTTCCAGGAAATCAAGGACACCTGAATACTAACTGACTCTTACAGTATCAAGAAAATCTGCATACAGAAAAACCTGCTGATTTCTAATTGGTCAATTCTTGTGCGGCAAATAAAGAAAAACAGAAACCTGAACAACACTGAGGATTGTTTGTTTGAAAATTAGACAAAAATATCCAAACCCTAATCGTCTAATAATCCAGCTCCCTGGTCTGTTTTGAGTTGTCAAGCTCAGGTGTAATAAAAACACAGCGATGACTGCTGGCTCGAGGAGGAACATCATTACTGTGATTAGTTAAACCTGGACTGTTCCTGCTATGAGAAACTTCTGCTGAGAGCAGGTCTGTATGTGAAAGGTGAGATGTGGGGAATGGAGGAGTTTGGGGGAGGCCAGGGGGGAGTGCAGAGAGGAGGCAGCTGAGCGAAGCTGGGTCCGAACAGAGATCTCATTGTTCATTCACATAAAGAGCTTCCTCAATATGGACAGCAGAGAACAGTCAGCCTCTCTGTACGCTGTCCTCCATGAACGACCTTACCACCAACATGCACCTGCCCTTCACTGCAAATATCCAGAGTGTATTAAAGCAAACGCTGCTGCAGACACACAACACAGAAACGCAACTCTCCAACCTCTGACTGCTAATGAACATGTGTGGTTGATTTTGTTACTTTGGACTTTAAACTCCAACATTGTGGTGGTACATAAATACTTACTGAAGACAGACCAACATGTGTCGGGCCAAAATTAAATATTTCCCTTGAATTATCATTAATAATCCACAAAAGGTGTGTGGTGGTGTTTGTACCTGCAGGAAGAATGCTCTCTGTATTGCCTAAATGTGTTATTTTGGGCAGTGTAATGGCATCAATCATTGTGCAGTAGCTTTGAGCTCACAGCTGACAGTCTGCTGATCTGGATTGACAGAAAACATAAAAAGACCAGCTGATAGTGCTGTTTGTCTCCTCTGCCCTGTCAGTATGAAACAGACATAAAAATAACATGCATCTTCATAAGATGCTGAGAGGGCTCAACAAAAGAACAGGACTTGCCAACCTGCCAATACAACAGTCGGGCAGTGACAAAGGACTGACACAGCAGACAGGACCTTTTATACACGTTGATGCTGAGGTGCAGAGGGGTCAGTAAATTTTGTTTTAGGGCACGTTTGTGAAACAGACTTATTTGACTTTTACATCACTTTGTTTTCCTTACTAGCATTCTCCCTCTCTTTTTTCATTTTATCTCTGCCTCAAACGACCACTACCATTCAATCTGTAACGTTCACTCTCTACTATGGCAGCTTTGTGGTGGAAATACGTCCACAGATGTGTTTTTTCCATCAGCTAAATGCTCTTGGAAAGCTGCAGACTTGGCCTCACTGTGCTTCATTGCTACAGATGTACCTGGCTTTGTAGAAGGTTGCATACATACTTGAACTTTCACATGACATTAAATGGTCATTCTTTTGTACCTCATTTTTTAAGAGCTCCATCAGCACATTTCATCATCAAAAATGGTGAAAACCATGTACATTATTGAATTTCCCTTTGGGAGTCAATAAAGTTCTTCTTTTTCTATATTTATAAATGTTTTTTTTTTTTTTTTTAACCTCATTATTTATTTTTCTTACTTTGTGCCCATTATGTCTCACATCTCTATTTCTACTGAGGAGCTCCTTCAGGGACAGGATGCTCCACCCTAAGTGTGTGATGGAGAGGTATCACAGGTCGTTCCTTCCTGCAGCTCTTAGACTTCACAACAGGAACCTCAGTGTGCAATAAATCATATTATATGTATATTCTGTACACATGTAAATAAGACTCATGTACATATCTTTTTTTAACTCTCAGTTTCTTTATCCTTTAATTTCTCTTTTTGTATCTGTATTGATGCTGCTTTAATTTTGGAGTTTCCCCCCGTGGGACTATTAAAGGAATATCTTATCTTATCTTATCTATCCCATGCTGCACCAGTCAGTGCTGGGGGAAGGTCTGGCTCTGACATAACATTGCTCTTAAGAAAAAAAAAATGCTCTAGGAAATTCATTTTTTATTCCAAAATAACCATCTTTGACAGAGCCATGCCAAAGACAAGATTTTGAACTCTGCAAATCTAAAATATAGTCCAGAGGGAACTTGTTTTCACAGTGGTGACATTCTTACGCATCCCAAAAATGAAAAAAGATAACATACAAAACATTAAAAAGATTTGTTTTGGGAATTTGTCAAAAGTAAAGCAGAGCCATGATTGGATTATCAGTGATTTAACATGGCTGAGGTAGTGCTAAATCAAAAGAAAACCTTTCACACACAGATTGTGCAACAGCCAAAATGAGGCCATCACACCACTTTTATAACCTTATACTGAACCAAATAGGATGTAATATTAGTGTCCCTCAGTGTTGTTTTCACAGGGATCAAAATGAACTAGTTCACATTAATTAAAATGGACTTAGTTCATTCAGTTTACTCTTAAACTCCTCCTAAAATCTTTACATTTGAAGAACATAGTGAGCCATGTTGTTAACAGGAGATCTATGGTCTCTCACCGTTCTCCTTCCTTAATCGTGAGATGAACTTTTTTGGCGGGATGACGCCCACTTTCTTCTTCTGTGTGGCGATGGAGTGGAAAAGGTCAGCCAGGCATGTGAGCAGGTTCTCCTTCTTCTTCTGCTGGGCTTTATAAGCCAGAACGTTCTCCCTGAAGGGCCGGCAGAAGTAGAGAGCCTGGAGCACCGAGTTACAGTAACATGTGTTTCCAAACTGAGGAGGGAGACAGTAATACAGGAGGACAGAGAGTGGTTTTTACTCTTTGGAAATGAGCAGCTGGGAAAATACAGATGTCTTAACTTGTTTTTATCTGTGCAGCATGTTCAAGCGGCTGCTGGGTAACACGGCTGTTTATGTAAATGCCATAATCAGAAAACAGAACATCCCTGTTACGGCCAACAGAGTCAAAAACAACACCATCACCTTCACTGTCCATAAGGGGACATGACTCATCCAGTCCTGCAGTGGTTTGTTTTGAAAGATGACACCTGTGTTTTTTTGGCAGTGGATATGTGAGAGGATTAAAAGATACTCACATTGACCAATCCAAAGTAGTGCTCATTGATTGGGAATTGCTCCGGGCCGATGTCTTTCTCCAGAGCAGAGGCATTGGTGCCCTGAGAGACAAGAAGACATGAAACCATCAGCTCATTTATTGCAGTCTGTGTAAGAGGAGAGCCTCATTAGAACCACCTATGAATATGTAACCAAATTAAGATGGAAAGTCTGTTTCGTAGTCATAGAGCCTCACCTGGCTGTATTTTTCTTATGCTCTCCATAGTTTATTAGATGGTTATGTGGTTAAATGGTCTCCTGTGTTTTGTCTCCTAAGAACCACATTGTCGTAAATATCAGGACTCAGAGACTGAACAGAAAGCTGAGACGTGGTTTTCCCCTTACAAACATCATTATGAGGCTAATCAGTGATTGAAAATGAGATGGTCCATCTCAAGGGGCTATCTTTCTAAATAAATTAATGAATAAAATTAATGACTTTTACCTCCTAACACAGTGGTTCCCAAGTCCAGTCCTCGAGGCCCACTGTTTTGGATGTTTCCCTGCTCCAACACACCTGATTCAAATGATCAGCTCGTTATCAAGCTCTGTAATGGCTTGATAACGAGCTAATCATTTGAATCAGGTGTGTTGGAGCAGGGAAACATCCAAAACATGCAGGACAGTGGGCCTCGAGGACTGGACTTGAGAACCACTGTCCTAACATAATGACTTTTATCTCCTAACATAATGACTTTATTTTCACAGCATTATGACTTTACTATGACTTTAATTACATCACCAAACGACTTTCATCTTGTAGCACAACCACGTTTTTCTTGCAATATTACAACTTGATTTTCCTAAAACTTGCGTTTTCTACCACAATTATTTTTCCCCCAAATCTTCAAAAAAAAAAAAAAATTAAGTTTGGGTCCTAATACTCAGTTGTATTTTTCAACAAAAAACATGCATTTTGGTTATCCAAAAACAAACTATAGGAAAAATGACAAAAGAGGAAGGAGTACTGTCCTCTACCGGTTCCTACACAGTTGGAATTTCCATACTTTATTTTTCATTTTCCATACTTTTTAAGACCTGGAAATTGATCAAATTTATTTCCATACTTTTCAGTGCTTGCGTAGGAACCCTGTTTTAAACACATGAACATTAAAGTACACTCAAGATCTGCTAAAGAAGAAAGGTCAGTGCTATCTCCTTCAAACATCACTTCACCTTTCTTATAAGACGATAACACTGGGCTGATCTAACAGCACAGCACAACAGTAAAAACAATTCCAAAGAACCCCCCCCCCCCCCGAGCAAATGAACAACTAAACTCAACAGCTGCATTAACTCTGTGTGCTGTATAGTGTGTAAGCTGTAGGAACAGCTGAGAATAGATATAGCACTATCAAAGGGACAGTGATATACATAGTTTTACATTTTGACATGCTTTGAAAGTCATGTCCTACATCTATAGACTCATCTCCAGCCGTCAGCTCCCCTCAAACGACAGGGATATTTGATGAAGCACATGCATGTGTGAAAAGCTGCTGCACCCATAAAACAGGCTGCAATGACTTTGGGGCTGACGGTCCATTACTAATACAACAATTTAAAGTGATTGGTTTTGTCACCATAAGTAATCCTGCTGTAAAATACTGAGTACAACTTTTTTCCTACCTGACAATTTTCACATTCCCTGCAGCTAGCAGAGTCATGAGGCTACATGAGCTCAGTGAATGACTTTGCATCTGCAGCAATTAAAGACCTTTTACTCTCTTGTGGAGCAATACCACTGCTCTCTACGTTAGTCATCATTAAGACCCCCAGGAAATGTAAAAACAGGACCCAGGCTGTAATCCCCTTTTTCAATCTAAAACTTACAATCCAACAAAATTAAAGGCCTCTCTTTCTGACAGTGTAATTGACCACATTATCCTCATTGCAAAGTTTCAACGTATCGGTTTCAGGCATGACTTTCAAATGTTGAAGTTTGACTTGATGTCTTTCAGAGGAACCGGTCTGTCAAAGTAGAAAGAGAAGATGGTGGAAATAGCTCGAATTATGTCAGAAGTCGGGAGTGTTTTGTGTCTGATTGCTGAGATACACCTCTCATCTACTGCCAGAGCCTCGGACCTGTCAGAGCTCAAAGCTTCTTAACATGAACCCCAGCTTTGTGAAGCGATCATAGAGGACGATTTAGTCTGACTTTGAGCGATTGTTATTTCCCTCAGTCCAAGCAGAAAGTGAATTCATCTTTGTGTATTTTATTACCTCCGCTCTGAGATAAGAAACTGCACTGGAGTGACACAAGTCCATGGGATGCTAAAAATATGATCCCCTCTTATCCTAGGCTGTTTTATCTACAGAGCTAGAGGAAAATATGAGTCATGTTTAGTAAAAACTGATCTAATAAAAGGCAGTAAAAGAAATGCAACCAATGCTTGACATCACATTTTAACTCTGAGCTCTTTGTTCTAAATGGCTGCGTGTTGCATATTTTAGCTGAATAGAAAATTCAGACTTCGCTTTTGAGAATTAAAACAACTCTGTAGTGCCCTCACTTAAGTAAAGAAGTTATGTATAAAACAGGAGTTTTTAGGTAAAGATCCTTGGCCCACATTGCAAATTAATAAATGACTCATCAATGTAAGTGGCGATCTTGATGTGAAAAAGTAAAACTCAAGACTTCCTTCAACAGCTGGTTATCACGTACCACTGGTATGTCTGGTTTTACATAGACTGACACAAAGACTGAAGAATTGTGTCAATTGTGTCACTGACTTTCTTTGAGCTTTATTTGTCTGAAAGACCTACATTTGAGGTACTTAAAACTCTACTTAAAAGTGTGTTTATCTTTACTTACTCTTACTTATTCTAAGTTTTGATAATCAGCATACACCAGCCGACCTGCAGGAAACTTTTTTAAGAACTTTAAAATTCAGCAGAATTTAGCAAAAATGAGTTTGCTCTTTGGAGAGGAACACACTGTATTGCATGAGTTTGCTCATTCTTCTAATGCATATACTAATCAAAATTTACTCTATTCTCATCACTTTGGTATGTAACAACTTTATGTTTTATGAACAAAATGTGTTTTTTCAGCTCACCCAGACTGTAAAATGAAACTAGTTTGGATTACAGGCTGTTAGATGGAATTATGTCCTATTTGAGGATGTTATATTGGACTTTTAGAAACTGAGAAAAACACCATCCAAAACCAACTCAATGTGTATTATGAGCTACAATTATTCAACTGTATTGTGAAGACATAGAAGAAAAAAACTTTATTCATTCCAAAAGGGGAAATTAAATTAATTCTCTCTGCTGCCTGATTTTTTTTTTTGCACACACAGGTCAGAAATACACACACGCACAAACACTGTGTACAGTAAATTGGGGTACGAGAGTTTATTAGCCCACATCAGGTTTCTGACCTCAATAGCACTATTCTGCTTTACTCTCTGAATCAATTTAAGGTATGTGCCGCACAGTTTGCAGATTACGTGTGGCTTGTCAAGATTACCTTCTTGCTTGAAAAAGCCGATCCCGTATTTGCTGTATACATGTCTGTTTGTGCATGGGGTATCAACTTTGCATTCAGGGTGCCTTGGAAACACCATAGGGCAGGGAATACAACATGGTAGAAACGATAGAAGTTACCGATGGAGAAAGATTAGAAGCAATGCACCACAAATTCACCTGTGAATTACATCTGATGCACCCCAAATTCACTGATGCATTGCAAACCTTTGTGTTGGACCACCGATATTAACTGGTGAATCTCACCATCCCTCGGCTCCACACAATGTGCCCACTAAGCAGTTGTGGGTTTGGTGCCTTGCTTGGGAATACCTTGGCAATGCTGAGCAAGTTAACAAGCACCTCTCCAGCCAGTAGCCCCAACTACTACAAGTCCTTCCGACTTGTTTAGATCCTCTAGTACCAAAACCAAGTAATGAGAGACTCAGGTACAACCCCTTTTTTCTATGAGTCATGGGATATTTATGGTGAGTGTTATAACTAAAAACACAGCAAACAGTCAAATATTCAGATAGCTTCACAGCCTTACATGTCTAAAAACACTTATAAACAATTATATAAACAAGTGTCTCTTTTTCTCTCTCCATAAATGCAGAAGGTTGACACAGACATACAATCTCTCTGTGCAGAACTGTATAAATTAATTAAATTAACAACTTCAGAAATTTAGATTTAACCCACTAAGTCAGTGTTTTTATTTTATTGCTGGTGGATGAAGGTTCATAGAAATGTTAGGCTATCCACAGCTTCTGCCTGAGAGTTGTTTTAGGGCTGGAATACTGTACACGGTGCGCAAAATAGTCTGGATTAAAATGAAGGCTTGAGGCAGATGCATAAGGAAAGAATACAGTGCAATGAAAAGTTATGCAAAATTCTCCTTGTACACTCTTTAGAGAAAAAACTCACAGATTTCTATAGGAAATCTGAAAAGGAAACATTTTCTATTTAAGTTTCCAGAATAAGTCAAAGTATGATTGGCAACACATATCATTTACTCAGCCCCAAGTGTAATAGCAGGTCAAAAGCACTTGCCTTACCCAGGCAGGACACCCAAATATAAAAGAATTAAAATTCATACAATCATCTAGCTGAATGTAAATTAATGTCACAGTCAAGCATGCAAAAAATTAACATGTTACTGTGGTGTTTAAAACTTATCACTCAGTTTTTCATCTCTCATCATAAAATGAAACTCAGGCTGTAATAGCTGCACATAAATCTGTTGTGTAAATTAACTGCCAACAGGCTGACAAATGCAGCTTTTATGCATAGCATGAGCTCCAATGCTTGTTTGGGAGCTCCATCTTCATATGTCTATTGAGGTCATACCAAGCTTAACTGAATGGGATCTGCTATAACTTCTCGTGTCAGTACTGAACCCAGCAGCACCCAGAGGTGACAGACACTGCAGGTTGTTCGACATCTCCGATGTCTCTGTTAGCAGCTCTGCAGCAGCAAATAATGCAATCACAACAAGCTGTCAGAGGCAGCGCGCGGCTGCACTGACCTGTCAATCACCGGTGACAGCTTCACAAAGTCGGTATTATACCGTATCTGAGGCTGCAGCACTCAGTCAACGCGTCTTTCTATGGGGCACTTTCATTATATGTGGATGCAGGCCCGTTTTTCACCTAGACCGTACAGCAGGGATCAAGCTCCCAGTGCATCCTTCCTCTAAAGGACCTTCCCCTCTTTGCATAGTGTGTGTAGCTGCAGGGGGGAGGCGACTCACCCATGAACATCACTACACACCAGCTCCAACAGACTCAGGCTGCAGGAAAATCGATAGCAACGCACACACAAACACACATACACACAGCCGGCTTCATACTCACCATATTACAAATGGAGGCGATGTTTCTGACAGTCATTTAGTTTAGAGTATCCCCCTCGCCGCCATCTTTAATAAATAAACATGATTTCAGTGGAAGGCGACGCTGAGGAATGGAGTTAAATCGCAGCCGCGGCTGGAGGCCAGACTGCAACCCCCCAGAGTCAGACAGCAGGCGGAGAGAACCGGAGCAGCATACAGCCAGAGCCGAGCTGAGAGTCCGGCCGCCCTCAGCAGCGTCCACACGGCCACATCCCCACACACATCCCGAAAACGCCGCCGCTGGAAGCCGTCAGCGCATGAGAGAACGGTGGACAGATGAAGTTACAGGCAGCAGGTTGTTAGCAACCATAAATGTCAGGAAACAAACCTGATGTGTGAGGAAGCGAGTGAGCCCCGCCCACATGGAGAGAACTCTGGAGCTGAGTGGTTCAGATTATTCTTATTTGATGGACAGGAAATTACAGCCAATCATAGACCGACATGATGAAGCTGAGGTGAGCTGCGACCACTCACCGGCTAGTTTTGGGCGCAATGCAGTCTGGGCGATGTAGTTTATGAATTAAATTAGGAATGCATTTAAAAGGGCTCAAATACCATACTTAAATATAATTTGAAAAACTTTTTTTTTTAAATAATTAATTTAGTCTTTGAAATTTAACAAATCAATAAAAAATAAACAACACGCCTACTCATCAGACTAATCAGCAGCAACACCCTGAGGTTATTCAGAACTCTTGACTTTAAAACCACAACTCCACAAGAGTTGGAGTGCCATGCAAAATATTAATTAAAAATAGAGTTTGATTATATGCAAATTATTTGTTTTGCAACTAAACAGGAGGTACTTTCATCTCAGCCATGCATGCTCCAATTAGACCCAAATGCACCAAACATAATACTAGTCCAGGCCTGAAAACACTCATAGAGCAATATTTCATCCTGGTTATTATGCCCCCAGTTGCAGCAGGAAATGTCATGCTTAGCTCTCCAAGTTGAAGCTTCAGGGCCATTAATCATATCTGCTGAAAATATTATTTAGATGCAGGTCTTTATGTAAGCTTTTCTTTTTGTCAGAGGGCGGGCCAGCATGGTGAAGCAAATTTCAAATTCATTACAACTCTGGTATAAATCAGTCAGTAAATAATATTCAACATAGGGGCTAGTTTTCTGATTATAACCTCCATGAAGGATGTTCATATGTATCCTCATAGAGAGTTGAACCTCTTCCTATCTTTACTTCTGAGAGACTCAGCCTCTCTGATTCCTTTGTCATAACTCAAGAAATGCTCTATACAGAGATTGCAACTGTGTTTTGCACAAGGCTGCGAACATGTTTTACTTTGCTGTATAGGTGTTTTAGTATTTGCTCTGATGGGTTTCATTGACCTTTGGGGACAACCTCAAGGGGACACTTAAAGAAATCTTTGCGCTACTGTAATGGCTTCACTTTTGTGCACAGCTTCAGATCATCATTTGTGCAGAATCCCCTCGAACATGCTTGAGCTATTAAGGATAGTGACCTCCTGAAAAAAAAAATATTCACAACAAAATATGTTGCTGAAATGCGTGCACATCTCATCATTCTTGACATTTTAAAGGCTTCTGTGAATCATTTTTACCCTCCAAAAATCTGTCATCTATTGCACTTAGACCAGTTATCTGACCATAGAGAGGAGGTTGGGGGGTTAAGTGTCCTCTCTGCAGGAGCCTCGGGCCTTCAGGACGCTTCCATTCACCTTCTGCTTTGTTTGTGCTTTCACAACAATCCACCACCAATTATCTCCTTAGCATTTACATGAGAACAAAAAGAGAGGAAAACAACAAATAATTATGATTCTTTTTTACATCAAAAGGAACAGAAGAGAAAGAGAGAGAAAGACAAGTCTTCAATGAATGAAGAATAAAGAGACCGCAGTTTGAACCGTGTAGGGTTTTATTATCTGTGTGACGTTTTGTTTGCACTATGAAAAGTCTGTTGTTTGTCGTGTTCTCACAGATTTTTTTATGAATGCTTTTGACTGACAAGGAAACAATTACATGTGCTGGTAGCTTGTGGGCTTTGGACACAGAGCGTTCCCAGACTCACTTTCTATTTCAGTCTGCTCTGTTTCAATAGGAAGGAGAGGAACAACGGAAACAGCTGTTCTTTTACTGACTCACTCTGTGTTTTATTGTCATTATTGCTGCTCTTTTACGACTAAATGCTGAATGTGTGCACAATAGCATACTCACTGTTCAAAACATTTCAAACCATTTCACTACTTTAAATAACTCCACACCTCGTGCTCTATTTTCTGTCTTGTTCATTTTTCTTCAGGCCTTTGTGGGCTCGTTTATGTGCTGAAACTCGGCCTTATTTAAATCTGGGTTTGTCATTTTAATCTCTCTGATGTCTGGATGCAGCTGATGGGTCCTTTGTATTCTCGGCTTACATATGAACCTCAGAGGACTTTTCCTGCTCAGCCTGGCAGAGATTTGAAGTGGGTCTGAGCATTTGGATTTTCATGCATAGAGAGAAATTAAGAGTATATATTAGACAGTTTGCTTCCTTATAAACTATGTTTCCACTGCAAAAAGCTCTAATAGTCTTTCTGTTGTTCAAGCAGCAGCTGCAAAAAAACTGAGACATGAATTATGCATCATTTCCTTGAAAACATCCCTCCAGTTCAGAGTCTGTAATTCACAGACATGAGTCAGAGTGTAATGAAACATCATTTCAGGAACAGACTGCTGATTTTCAACAAGAATTTTCTTAAAAAAAATAATTTCAGTGTGAATACAAGCATGTCAGAGCCCAAATCAAAAAAACATGTTCTTCCTTATAATTAACTCCTTTTTAAAGAAATTGCAGCATTATTTCAAGTAACAAGACATGGACTTTTTAATTCCTATTTACATTTGTTTTGCATTTCTTATATTCAATGCTCTCTTTTTAACATTAATATCTAGAGAAATTCAACTGAAAAATATCTTTTTGACATTATCTAAACAGTTACTACTGTTAAATTAAAGTTTGTTATGATGCATAAGATAATGTAGTTTAATGTTGACCCTATAATAGTTAACAGACTTGTTCTAAAATCTGCAACTTAACACATTTTCTTTTTTCACAAATAAATTAAGAATCCATCTACAGAAAAATGAACTGGCAGGTTGTCCCTGATCCCTGTTGTGAATCACTGTTGTTTTGAGGTTCACAGCCTTGTAATGAGTCTTCTTACAGATCCTGTGATGGGAGGAGGGCTTTGAATTAAATTTGTTCACTTTGTCCTCAGGGTTGCAAAAATCAATAAAACTCAAAGTTCCCCTGATAACTTGAACAGGCAAAAAGTGGGTGAAAGTTGTGGCAAGGCCAACAAGAATCATGCTCTTCATAATTTGCTCTCTGAGGACTGTGCACTGGGAGAAGGACAGTCCAGGTCATCTCTGTGAAGGTTGGCTCATGTTCTCACTCTGTGTTCCCTCAGCTCTGTATCTGTTTTCTTATTCTCATCTGTACATGTGTCTGTGTGGTTCTTGTTAGGACAAACCTCCACCTGCTTTTTTTTAAACTGTTTGAAGAATTTGGATTACTTAGAAATTAAAAGCATGTTCTCTGAGCTGCATACCATAAATCACATGGGCTGAGTCAGATCCATTTAAAAGTACAGTGATGGAAACAGCACCAGCCCTAACCCTGTGCTCTATCCAAACCAGATGTATCTTGTAGTCAAATTAACAGGGTTTATTATTAGGGTTCTGGGTTGCTGCACTGAGAAATGCAGATTCTGTATGGTCTCAGTTCTGGTTCTTTGTTGTGATAAAAACTTTATCACTCAGTGAGTGAACTTCTTTTTTTATATTCTGCAGATGGTTGCTCTCTGTAACCTTCTCAGTTGCTTTTGTAACAATAGGACAGGCTAATTTTGATTTTTAGTGATTTTGCAGGTTGTTTTTCAAAAGCAGAGACAGATTCAGGTTGCATCTGATGTTTGTATTGTCTTTTATAAAAGGCACGGAAAAATTGTATTGTCTTGTGAGGTTTTGTAACATGAAAGTTTTATTGTTCGCTAACAATGTCAAGGTGTGTTAGGTAAAAACAAAAAATAACTATTTCTTAAAGTATAAGTTTGCGAGCACAGTATGATGTTTTGCAGGTTTGTTGAATTTAAAAGACAATCTGAAGCTTTCAGAAAAGTCTGTCCACATATGAGTCATTACCTTAGACATAAAGCTAATAGAATTGTGTATGTGTGTTTCACCCTAACAATGATTCAGTGGCAGATCTTGGGTTTTTAAACCTAGTTAAAAAGCTTCAGATTTGCAGTACTGGACTCAGCAGCAGAGGCAGTGGTCTTCCTTGGGGCTGGAAAAGGAGTGCAGCTAAGTTAGTTTGTGAACTAAGGGAGGGGAGAGTGGGGTAAGAGGAGCCGTTTTTCATATTTCGGATCACTACATCAGGGCAACCATTGTTTTGTCTCTAACTAGTGTATCTATTTCAGGACGTTGTGCATCCCTGCAAACCAACAGAATGAGTGTAAACATAACAGTCTTGGTAATACAGCATGCCAAATAAAGTGGTCTCCTGTGGTCAGCTTACCCGTGTATGGGGTAAGTTGACCATAGGAGTGGAGTAAGTTGAGCTGTATACCCCCCGCCCTCCACCCCAGCCCTCCTTCACCTTCTCTCTCCATAAATAACAGTCACTTCTTCATATTCTTGTGTATATTAATCTATTATACACTATTCAACAGGTACAATAATTATTTTTATTGTTGTTGCATATAACTGCTAAAAAGCTGTTTTGTAAAAAGTCATTTTAACATGAGTGTCTTTAAGTGATTCAGAACATTCACAGCTGTATTTTTAAAAAGAAAAAGTAACACATTTCAACACTCTGAACTGAAACTCTGATCCTCTCATCAGACTTCTTCACTTTCTCAGTTGAACCAATGGCTCAACTTACCCCAGAACTACTATGATGACTTTATTAGTCCTCTACACTAAAATGGTGGACTTTTATGTTAGGTTTTTGACCTCATGTTGTAGCTCATAGATACCACAATTGATGTATAGAACAAATTTAAAATGATATTTTTTGGTCTGAACACAATTCTAATAAAACTTATGACGGACTAAATTTACTGTCAAGAGTGAAAAAAGCAACAGGGGGTGGCTCATCTTACCCTGTGGCTCATCTTACCCCACTCTCCCATACCTCAATATGTTTACTGTTTTAGGCCATATGTTGTTGTCCACCATGTTATTCTTTACAAGAGACAAAGTAATCAGCTCCTCGAAGGTGAGCCCAGATGAGCATGAGAGACCGTGACATGTCGCTGTAGTTACAGATACCAATCAATACACTGGCACACAGATATCGACCCATGATTGACTGCACTTCGCAAGATAATTTGGTCTGCTTTACTTTCACACCTCTAATGAACCACAGGGTTCAATTGAGAGCTAAGTGAGACCCTTATTTTCAAGCAGACCAGAGTTCACTTGTTTGGTCCACCTCAGAGTTTAAATAAGCTTTCACAACACTCAAAACAAACCGGATTATAAGAGGAAACAGACCAGCGTTTCTTTAAAGTGGACCAAACAGCTTTGGTGTGGATGTGACCTTTCTCTTTAACGAAAAGGTCCATCTCTGTAGGGGTGATTTCTGACACGTTGTCTTTACTTTTGACAAAAACCGACACTGTCTGTATGAATGACTGAAACTTCTACAGGAGGACTGTCATAGGAACCAATTCCTTTATAAGGATTACATCACAGCCATTACAGGTGGTATCCATAAATGCTCTGATGCGGTAAAATGAGGCAAAATAGTCTTGGAGGCATCAAATTCAATATGAGTGAATGTTTGCAAAAACATTCAGTTTCTTGTCTTTGTAGTGTCTTCAATAATGATTCTTTGAAAAGGATTTGTTAATCATTTTAATTTGTTTTTATTCTCATTACACACAATGTCACCTCTTGGAGTTGGGATTTGTATAGTACGGAATATATCATGACTGAAACATCACAAGCCACAAAGGCTGAAATATGACTAAAAACAAACACACTTTCCTGAGTATAACAAAAACTAAGGCTAAATTTCTTGTCAAAATAAATACAACCTACCAGTGCCTTTTAATAGACTTCACATACCCTTTATTCACTCAGATATGTACAGGTTGTCTTTAAAATAAGACTCTGAGTTAAGATAACATTAAATATTTACTCAGATGTGACCTCATGTTAAAGTCATCATGGTTGGGGATCCTCAAACGTTAAATACTGATAATATAAATATTTCCTGTCCTGGAAACAAAGGCAGCACCAAGATGAGGCGGAGGAGGAGGAGAAGAAGAAGAAGGTGTGTGTGTGTTAGGAGGTAGGGGGGCATTATTAGTATCACACACAAGCTTTGGCACTTACTTTTAGTACACACTGTTCCTAACAGACTCCTGAGGACTCTGTTTTACATGTACAATACCACAGCCTGTGTAAACAGAGAAGCAGGGCATGCTGGGTAATGGCTTTCAGAGCTCTGTGGATGTAAAACAGGCTCACCGCTGTGCTGGCACATTAGCATGGTGGACATTTGTTCCCTGTGTCATTACAGGGTGAACAGAGGACTCAGAGGACAAACAGGAAAGGTACGTTTTAGCCTCATGCACTGTTCTTAATGTCAGAAATAAACACCTACTTCATTATATTTTCTAGATCCATTCATACTGATAAATGTTGTTTGTGGAGCATTCATGCATGTAATAAAAGGTGCTTTATACCTCGTAAATGACCTGAATTGGTCAGCACTACAACTGATGTAAATTATGTTTTTGCTAAAAAAAAGTGGTCTGGGGGTTCAGTTACACTTAAGGCAGGGGTGGGCCTCTGGTGTTGTTATTAATGACTTCTGCAGGCTGTTAGTCAACTATCACCTGATGCCAAATGTTATGCCTGCAGCATACACACCACCTGCAGATCTTGTTGCCAATATACTTCATGTGTCTTTTCAAGGCGACTGCTTAAAGAGAAATAAGAGAGTTTTAAGAGGAAGAGCTGCATCTAAGCTGGATGTTCTGACCAAGGCCAGCAAAGGTTTTGAGCTGCACTTTAGCCAGAACAACTGCCAACATCATGACTACCTAAAAGCTAGCATAAATGCTGCTACTAAGGTTTTAAATGATTGCAGAGGGCAACTACAAATGTTGTTGCAATTATGGTGGATTAGATCAACTACTTCAGCAACACAGCACATCTGTCACTTGTACTCAGGTTACTGACATGAGAGTAAGAGAGAGATTTTGAAGTTTGGGGACGTCACAGAAAAAAAAAAACAAGCTCACGATCTGGCAGCTGTAATGGCAACCAGTAATTTTGCAAAAGGCTGCTGTCATGTGTCTTTCAGGTCAATGAAACCTAGTTTTTTTGTAAAGATATTTTGAAAAAACTTCAAGTCTTTAAGTATCTTCAGGCTGAGTTTCAGCTACTGCAACAGCAGCAGCAGTGGTGTTGTTAAAAGACAGAGCAGAGAAGTAGTTCACTGAGACAGTTACATGCAGGCTGAACCTAGAAAACTCTACATGTCTGTGAGTCCTAATAGATGTATGTAATTGATCAAGTGCACATCATTGTGAGGGTGACTCATCATGCAAATCAACATGCAGCACCTGAATGGAAAGAGTCACAAATGATGTTTATCTAACCTCTAATCAGCGCTTCATTCACGCAGACAGGCGACAGAGAGTCAGAAGGTTAGTGGATAACAGTGTCAGTTATTTAAAGATGTGGCCTAGATTTAGTGAACTTTTCACACCAGAAGAATGATATGAATAACATGTAGTGATAGAAGAGATGAATACACACCTCCTCTTAATTTAGACCAGACAGGATCTAATTAAACAGAGAAAATCAGATCAAGTGCTGCAGACATATAAGCTGCACTGACCTTCAAAATGACCTAGAATGGAAGGTGTATCAGTGATCTGCATGCCATTTGGAAGAAGACCCCTTTTCTCATATGCTCACATGCGCACAGGCTTAGATCTCCTAACCCCTGCATATTTCCCTCGTCTCTATAGGAGCCTCAGATTCCTCAGCTGCCTTTCTCTCCTCTGGAAGTCCAGAAACATCTTATCCTGATTGCTATGATGACAATAGCTGTGGCTGTATAACTGGATGTCTCCAGATAGCTGAGAAGGCTGCAGAAAAGCAGCAGAGCTTGACCCACTTTCCAGACCCGTGAACCGCATTAATTCAGCCTGCCAGGTGCTCAGGAGACAGGAGTGTACTGAGGCAGATAAATATCAGCCTTCATACAACATACAATGAGCTGTATGAGATGTTTATGTTCCATAATCTCGGACCCTGACACACATTTCATCATAATGTCTGAGCAGGGACATGCTGATGTATAAAGATGATATGAAAACAGAGATAAAGAGTCTGTACGTTTAATGACACGGTGACAACAATGGAGGAAGGCTGTTTTTATCGTTATTTCCTCTCAAATGTGCCAAATAATCTTGGTTGAAAAGACATCATATTTACCTTTAGTGTTATCTGAAGTTATTAAATAAATCGGGGCTGCACAGAACCAATAGATCACTTTGGGTCTGCAGGGTGCTATTTTGAAAACTGACAGGATCATTGTGCGTTTCCACACACGTCTGTTACTTTCAAAGCTGGATACTTGACAGGGTTGAACATGAGTGAAAATAAGTGAAATATACCTCACTAGCTCTGCCAACATCCTGGGTTTAAATAAAGGTGGGATTTCCCAGGAGGATGTTTGAGACCTGGCTATGAGGACCTTTCTTAACGGAGCAGGGTTACCAGCACTTTTACAACTGAGGTTCGAAATTCATTGAGAATCCAAAAACAATCATGGCGGTTGTGCCTCTTCAGGATTCTTATCAACTAAGCAATAACTACCTAACTGTTGTCATCCAGTTCTTCAACTCACGATCTACAATAAGTTTTTATGGTAGATTTCAAAATAAAAGCACAGTTTGACAACCTAAAATATAAGACAACCTAAATGCAAGACAAAAAAAGTATGAAAATAAAAACATGACAAACAGTTGACTAATGAGGCAATGTTCTCAGCATTTTCATTAGCCCTGCGAATTTTCAGTCACAGGGTTATTGAAAAAAGAAATATTTGAGCATCATTAGAAATGGGTGTTGACGTCTAAGTCACATGTATTTATTAGTAAAACTTGTGAAGTAATTTGTTGCACCACTGTTGGCTTCCTGCAATTTAACGTGATAATTAGTAGATCTCTCTGTGCCAGAATAGAAACTTTGAGGGGATGTGCTGGCTGCTTAGAAGAAAAAAGCCATTAGTTCATTATAGCATGAGTCATTAATGTCTGATGATTTAGTAAGGTGGTTTTATCATCCAATTAAGTATTTATCTTACATATTGCTCCTTTCAGTCTGAAATTATCCATGTGCAGGTATCCTTTTTGATCCAAATGTGTCTTCTCGGTCACATCTGAATGGAAAAAAGATGCAGGATATAAAAAATCCCAACAGTCCTGAGGAGAAAATCACCGCCAAACTCACCTTGAGTTTTCTTTCAAAGGATTTAAAGGAGTTTTATTTTTCATTCCAGTCTGCAAGAGAAAAGACCGAAACTTGAACTGAGGACCCGGTATCAGCCATAAAGAACGAATAAGTAAAAAAACTTTAAATAAGACCTAAAGGAATCATAATAAAATAAAATAAACACTAATATTTACACTAAATATATAACAACGACATTTACAGCAGCTTTAACCTAAATAACAAATAATATTTACTATCGTCCTAATCTAAAACACAGTACACACTGGGGTACAAAGCAGCAGAGTAATGGAGTGCAAACAGGCTTTTGTGCAAGACAGAGTTGTGAGTTTGATGAGTGAATTGGCCTCTGAGTTGAAGAGAAGTACAGAAAATAATTCATGAAGCCTCTCTCACTCAGATTATGACTCCTTTAAAGCAAAAAAATGAATTGAAGTTCAAGTATACAACAATTAAACTGGATCAGTAATTGTTCTCAGGTTTTCCCCCCAAAAATCAATCATGTCAGACTTTGATGGTCTGAAAAAGTTTTGCCAAAGCTGTGTGAAAATCTGAAGTTACATGTTCATTTTCTTTTCAGTAAAACTAAAATGTCACAGCACCCTGAATTCTTGGTTCTCCTGTCCACTGAAGGGACTGAAGGTGCGATTGTCAGTCACAGCGTGCACTCCTTATGTATGTGTGAACATTAGGAAGAGACAGCTCCTTCTGAGTGTATTAGGTGGTTTATGAGGGGGGTCGAGTGGCACATGATGCAGCCATGGTTTTCTCTCCCCTTCAGGATGTCTGACGCACTTCTTTTTTATTTCATTGTACTAGGTGCCAATTTTCAGGTAGAGTACAGTGTGTTCCCCTTAAGAACATTGACTGTTTCCTTCATTATTGCCCCGAGCAGTTTGGCCTGTCTGTTTTTCTTCTCCTTGCTCTGTGGCAACCTAATGGACGAGATTTACCACAACTCCTCGCTGCAGCTGACGTGAAGCGTTTCTGAGAGCCAGGCTGGAGAGAGACAGAGTGTGATATTGTGTTAACTAGCATCCATCATGAGTGCTGTGGCTGGAGAGAAACAGGCATTAGTCCTGATGGGTGGCTGCAGTCTTGAGTTTAAGGCTATTTCTGGTCATGTTATTGTCACTATGTAGAGCAATATAAAGGAAATGTAAAATTTTGTCATGCTGTCTTTAATCTGCAGGAGAATTATTTTACCACAGTAGATCCCTCAGTGTGGACATTTGAGCTTACATGAAGGGATATTCTGGTTCAAATTTAAGTTAGGGTCAAACACACTTCAACACCGAGTTAGACACCCCCTCGAGAGAAAAATGTTGTCTACTGCTTGCTTCTCTAGTTATACCAACTTTAGTAATGACCGCACGATAGCAGCACACAGCGGTTTACATCTGCACGTGCAAACCTCAACCAAAAACGCCACTCTATATCCACAAATAATGCTCAGAACAGCACCTAACTTCATCACCAGTACATATAGGGTCCTAGCCATAGCACTACCCATCAAACATCTTTTTAGCTTTGCCTGATTTATTTAGCAAAGAGACTAAACACAACTCACCTACCCTTCTCCAGCAGCCGCTTGTTTGTGGGGGAGCCCTGACGATTCGATCACAAAGTGCAGTGGAGTTTCGCAGCTCAAGGAAGAATATTTATGGAAATGCAATCAGACCATGACTAAAGCAGAAGAACTACCGCGTCTGCAGTGCAAGATTATTATGATGATTATTACTTCATGGAAATGATCCGCTGAGCTCGGTGATCAACTAAAATGTGTAAGCTGTTATGAAAAAAAAATATCTAAGGTTGATTACAACCTCTTGAAGAGTGACTGTACATCTGTTTCTGGTGAGTCTCAGTTTCACTGTAAATCATAAGTTATTGGCTTCACTCAAGACATCTTCAGCTCTATGGGCCGGGAAAAGACTGATTTTCTTGTGATTTATTTGTAAGTAAGGAATTAATTTTTCTGAAATGACTCACAGTGACGCAGATTTGAAAAATAATAACTGAGGTTTTGTCAGGTCTGTCCTTGGGGGGAGAAAATAACTATTTTTGAGGATGTTCTTGTGTTGAACGGAGGCTGAATCAATTGTTTTTCATTAGTGATGGGAATTACGGCTCTTTTTAGTGAGTCAGATCATTCGGCTCAGCTCACCAAGAAAAGCCCAAACAGCTCTTCTTTTACCACTTATACATTTTCTAATTCAGCCAAGTTTAGTGTTGTTTGGCTTATAATATGTACATAAGTGTGCATATACCTCTTAAATAATTCAATACATCCTTTGTACTGAAGTATTCACTGAGTACTTCACTGAAGTAAAAATTACATTTCTAATATCAGTAAATTGCTGTAGCCATCCTGAGCACATCCGTGTAATGAGCACAGGCATATGGCTCAACCTCGCCCCCCTCTGCTTGGTGTATCCTCACGTGATTGGTTGTACATAGCATGCACGTGACAGTCATGCACTGCACGCATGCAGCACCCCTCATCCCATCATTCCGCCTTGTAGTTTTTTTCTACGGTATGTGGGGGAAAAAAGACAGAAAAAAAATTAAAAATTAAAAAACAGCTCAAAGATGGGAGACGGCTCCCATCGTTCATGTTAAAGAGCTGGCTCTTTGAACCAGTTCGTTCTCGACCAACACATCACTTTTTTTAATGCATTCTAGTAAATTGTCAAAATTGTGCCACTTTGTAAATGCTTGGAGATTGTTAGCTGTACTTGGATGCATATATATGTTAATAAAGAAAAATACATTACTGTCAATTTCACGACATCCTGTCTCCATACCATCATGTACTTGTAAGTTTGAAACATTATTGCAGCCAGTCATTTGGGGGGGGCTCCAAGTATTTTTGCTTCACTTTTGGTGAGCTGTTGTGTTGTTCATTCCTCCAGTCAGTGTTTATAAGGCGCACACCAACATATCTGGCTCACGACCGCACCATGAACCTACGCTGAGTTGCTGCTGTCACTGCTGTCCTAAAAAAAAAAGGCCCCTTCTGGTTCTGAAAAGAAGATTCATAACCAAGATTCAGAATTGTGGAGTCATATCTTCAGTCCACACTCCACGTCATGAGAGATGTATCATTTTTTTAGTCTTTCATACTTACACCTTCGCTTCCGTTAACGCACACTAACAACAGCGAGCATGTGTTTTCTCTCACGCGCTCCTCCTCACAAAGAACAGACTCTGAACAAAGAGGAGGCCTTGAAAACTCAGGACAAGCGCTGTCTATCTACCTCTGAGTCAGACGTTTAGAAACACTCAGGAGATTTTGCTTGAACTCTCCGTTAGACATCTGTAAACATGCTGCGTAATTAATGAGAATATGCCCCTGCACGGGAGTGTGTATGGGTGTGTGTGTGAACAAATGATTAACCTCGATCACGAGAGCAGACAGTCCTAATGAATGTAAATCAGGACGTCATTGAAAATGTCTCTGTTCTCTGAATGAGCACAGGCTGAAGGGGCTTTGAGGACAATCCTGATTGTTTTAATGTGAAGGAAAGGAGACTGACCCAGCATGAACTTCACTGTGAGGTAAGAGGAGCTCTGTGAAATTTGAAAAACCTATTTCAGGTTCTGCAAACATTTTTATTTTAATGTTCTTTTCTGGAGTTTCTTACCCAACTGTGCATTGCTATATGCAAAATATCTCACAGTTTTTTTTTCTTTTTTTGCACAAAGAAAGGCTGAACAGAGCTGACCTGCATTTGTTCTTTATTCTCTCTTTTTTTGTGTTTCTTTTGACCTTTTTCATTTGCATCCTTACCCCCTTTGACTTTTCAAAGCTATTTTCTGTTTGGCCTGACTGTTAAAACTATTAACTATAAAATGAAACTATGTGCCTTTGGCATTTTTGTCACGCTGCATTTGAAGAACATGCATTGTGAAGTACATCAACTTCTTCTGTGAAATTGAGCTGTGGTAGAAATGACCATCACATTTCACTCCACATGCAACAAAAACTTGGAAGCAGAAATGTGCAGGTTATCGTGGGTCAGTTTTTTTTGAAGAGATGTGAATTTAGCAAAGTAAAGGTGTATCCACTCGGTCTCATCATCAAGGGAACATGTGTTACATCTTTACAGCTCCTCTGACTCAGCGCGCTCGCCTGAGGAAAGATGAGAAGTTATTCATCAGAGGATTAAAGAGCTCAAAGAGGCTTTATCTCATAAAAACACTTTCGACAAAAGAAAATACTGGAAGAGCAAACAGATATCAGCACTTCCCATCAGGCGTCTTCATGGGTGGGAAAAGCTCTTTTGATGGTTTCTTTTTCTACCCACCAGATTGGCTATTTTTCACCTTATCTGACATGAAATCACAGGACCTAAAAACACCTCTGAGCTGTTTAGTTTGAGTATTTTTCTTTCACCTGTCTGTCTGCAGTCTGCTGAGGGCTGGGATTAAAACACGACTCACACAGATGCTTTTCAGCATTTTTCTTGGTTTAAAAGCTGCAGATTTCTGGCACAGGTGCCTAATCTGCCTGTTTTTAGCTCCATTCTCCCTGTGACAAGACTGGGCCCATCTGTCAGTTTGGACACAAAACTTTCTTCAGTCTTAGAGACAGTGGACTGACAGAAAAGCTGACAGATACTTGAGTAAACTGTGAAAAAGCAAAATATACAGCTCATTGATGAAGATAATGACACTGAAAGACGTGATTTGGGTCAGTATTTGGAGCTTATTTTTCATGTTCACGCACTGTTTCTCTCTCTGCTGTGTTAACCTCCAGAGCCCCACCTGAGCTCTGCACGTGCTCAGTAGCAGCTTTCTCCCTATTCATCGCCTGGCTCTTGTTACATGTAAGCTGACAGTGAGCAGGTCACTGTGTCCTGCTGTGAAGAGAGCAGAGAGGACCTGTCACAGTCAGGTCTGAGCTGACATACTTAGAGACTGAATAAAATTGGAGCCACATTTATACTTTGACCCTTTTTGTTGCACCTACACACCAACAATCACACTCAGTACCTGACACATTATTACACAGTAAAACTGCTGTGTGCATGAGAGAGAATCTAAAATACTCGTGTTAAAAATTTGCAGTATAGGAAAATCACGTTTTCGAATGGTGCTCAATTTGTGATGATTCAAAACACGGTTCATTCAGTATGAGTGATTATAGGAGTGTTGAAGGTAAATACACCAAACTACAGTCTATAAAACAGGGTCCAATAGTGTTCTTTGTATGAGCCTGTAAACATCTAATATACCATTGTAAAAGAACACATTTTTATTTGAGTGCTAATGGGTCTTTGGTTTTTCCAGCCTACCTCTAGTGGACACTCCTGGTGTGTCTGAAGTTTTTTGCTCTCCCTCACAAGCGTCGTTGATTCTATTTGGTCAAGATGACAAAAAGACATACACAAGTGTGTTTGTTAAACATTTCTGGGGGTGTTTATCATTGGATAAGCTTATTTTTCACTCACTCTGTGAGCTCTGACCGGGATCAGGGTTAGTGTTACAAATTTGGTCAATGCAAACAAATAATGCAAACTGACTCAATGTTCACTGTGATATACTTGAACTTTTTCCTACTAGACCTTGTTGAGGAACTTAGAAGGAAATTTACCCCACAAGAGTGAACAGGAGTCATAACCATCCATCCATCCATTTTCTATCACGGGGGGTCTGGAGCCTATCCCAGCTTCTTGGGGGCGAAGGCAGGGGACACCCTGGACAAGTCATCAGTTCATTGCAGGGCTGACATATAGAGACAAACGACCTTTACACCTTTGGGCAATTTGAAAGTGACCAATTTATCTAACCCCACTTCTTCATGTTTTTGGGAGGAAACCGGAGTACCCGGAGTAAACCCACGCAGACACAGGGAGAACATGTAAACTCCACATAGAAATGCCCTGACCCGGATTCAAACCCAGGACCTTCTTGCTGTAAGGCAACACTACACAACTGCACCACTGTGCTACCCAGGAGTCATAACATTTGTAAAAAAAAAATAATAATAAAAAAAAAAAATAATTAAAAACATCCAATGATGATGGAGAATAGTTTCTAAAATAACACTGAAGATGTCTGCATGTGCGAGTACTTACGCTCAGCCTTTATGTAGTAGATGCAAAAATGTCATTATAGAGTGGGTCCCTGCTGTTTTAAGTACTCTTGCCTCACAGGGAGCACTTCCCTCTGTGAGGGACATGTCTAAACAAGACACCTTTCAACCCTCATCAACAGAACTCCTAAAAAAATTCATTAAAATTTCAGAAGAACACTTGTGAAAGAGGCTTGCTCTTCCAGATATTCATTCTCATACCATTTATGTCATTTCCAGTCCACTGAGTAGGTTTGTCAGAGGCTTCATTTTCACTGCTGAGTCACATCCACAGATCAGTTCTCCTGAATCAGCCCTGGAGGATTGCAAATATCTGTATGAAACCACCCAAGCCTCTGCTTACAGCCTGCAGGTCCAGTTCTGCTCAGTAACCCAGTCTAGACAGGCAGATTGTTCCCAGAGGGGGAGGTCGGATTCAAGGCCAGAAATCATAAATCTTCCAGTAAGCCCAGAGACCCAAACTGATCAGGACAGGCTGAGAGTCCTTCTCTGTCTCTGTCATTCTCAGGATGACTAAGTCCAAACAACAAACACATCCACAAAGGCTATTTCAAAGAAATATGTGGTGGTTTGTTGCCATGGATACCTTAACAATAATGATTCATGAAAAATGAGGCGGAAGATTTCAACCTTAAAAAAACATCCGTCTGTTCATTTCTTCTTTAACTTGTTGTTTCAGTTTTCCAGCTCTGACATTAAGGATCTTCTGTCAACAGCAGTAAAGAGTTAGATGCTTTATAGATCAGGTTCAGTGGCATCAAACTGAAGATAATTCAATGAAAATCATCTTGAAAACAGTTGCATTGGCAGTGACACGTGCACAGTAATGATAAGAGGTATTTCTTAGTATTCAATATTGTTTTGAAAAACCAGACATTTCACGAAAGTTGATGACGCTCTGAAAAAACATGACATGAAAATAAGTTTCCTCTCAAACAGCTGCTACAAAAACACTATTTTTAGAACTCAAGGACGCTTCAGGAAGCACAGCTGCACTCCACAAAAGACGATGACTTCTCAGAAAACAAAAGATTACCAGAAACATTTCTCATGAAAAACTTTTTGTGTTACATTAAATTCAACAACTTCTCACCAAACAGCAACACTCCCATGGAAACTGGAAGTAAACATAGTGGAGCTCTATTGAAAAAAAGAAAAAACTTTGAGACTTTTCTCCTAAGAACAGCCAGCAAACTATTGCGTTTTTGGCCATTCATTATCATATAAACACTCAGTCGGAACCACTTTCTTCAAAGGAATCTATAACTTTTATGCATTAGTTCTATTTGGTGGTATGGCTCTGGTCTGACAGCCCCCTGCCCTTCCATATGTTGATGTGGAGTGTCAAACTTGCAGCAGGGAGAGCACACCTCCCTTTTGTTTCATGTGCTCTGTGATGCCATATTTCAGTTCATTGACAGTTGTTAAATGTCACAGCTACATTGGTTATTATTGTCTTAAAATCCTGACCGAGTTGTTGCATAACTTTATCTACCTTTGAGTCACTTTGTTCTGGACGATCACTGTGTCTCTCCATCTTTTATCCCCCTGTTGCTGCAGTTGTGAGTGACAGCAGCCCCCAGCAACCTAACTGGTGAGTGGCACAGTCCAGTGCTGGAAGGCTGATCAACTGGACCAAACGACAAAATGAACAGTTTTTCTTCAGGTTACGGCCTGTTTTTTGGGAATGTAATTTCCTTCATGCACAACAAGACTTTTAGTTTTATATTACACACTCATTAAAAAAGATTCCCAGGGACAATTGACAAGCTTCTCCACTTAAGCGTCGTACTGAGTTCCTTCGCCTGTTTTGTTTTGCTGTGTTAAGGGTGTACCACAGGGATCTGTGTTGGGTTTATTGCTGTCTTGCCTCCGTATGTGTGCTGGCACTGTGCTTATTTACTGAATACACATGGAAAAGTTGAAAAACAGGTTGCTGCAAAATTAAAAGCTGTTATGTAGAAGGCAGCTGTCTGTGTTAATCACCACAGCTTCGACCGAACCAGCTGTCATGTTTATTTTTCATCAGGGTGAAAATGATAAACACAATGATTGAGCCATTATTTTTGTGGAAAATGCATGCCTCAAAGTGCTGTGGAAAAAAATAGAAAATAGAACAAACAAGTTATGTAACTGTCCTCATTCAAAAGGAAAATACCAATAGAATTTTGGCAAAAAAAAAAAAAATAGGGAATAGCAACATTTTTAGAGATTTAACTCACTTATTAAATGATTTATTTGTTTGAACACAGTGATGAAACAAAAGTAAATAAATAAGTGCAAAAGAAAATTAACAGGAACAGCAAATTACTGCCTTTCTTAGTCTATTTTGCCAGTTCACGTCAAATATTCTGCACAAAAAACATCAATATTGCTGTTATTGAAGCTATATCTTTAAATATTATCTGTTTTGCAAAACACAATTAATATTTCAGATTATCTTCCGCCGCACAAACATTTCCCCCCTCTTTCTCATAATCTCCTGCTTCCAAACAAAACAAATCTGCAGCATTTAAGAGCAGTTTTCTACTCACAGGTTTTACACGTGAGAAGGAAACAACTAACTTGTGAATGAGTGAAAACAGGATAATCTCCGAGTTTAAGGTCTTACCTTAAATACATGTCTGTGGTCACATGCAGGCCAGACGTAAACACCCCTTTCCTCTGTTATTAAACTTTAACCCTTTCACAGGTTTGTCCGTCTCCTCCTCGTGCACGCAGACCAACATGTTGTTGCACACAATGAGTATGTGACAGAGGCATGCACATCGAATTCTAAGAAATGAGTGTGGATAAAGATTATTGTGACGCCTGCAGGATGTAAACAAGAGCTGGAGGGCCTAATTGAGAGTCAGGGGATCAGGATTTACCTACAGGTCTGGTGAACTAGAGGCACTTTTTAAACCTTTTCTTTTCCTTTCTACATTGCTGTGCACATATACAAGTATGACACACTTCAAGGGGTATTTATCGATGAGTTAGGGCTATAATCTTGCTAAAGCTTTGTTGAAATATGTTTCTCTATAGTAGTCCACTGCATATGACCTGAGTGATCAAAAATCAGCTCCTTTACATGACCCGTCTACCAAGTCAGGGAATGCATCCTCCAAAAGGCAGCAACCCAAGACTGATTGCATCACAATCAAATATTGGAGGCTGTCTTATTATGGGGGCTGCTTTAGTCAGAAACCAATGAATCCATCCTAATTTTACTGAGCTCCTTCAGACACAGCCAACAAATGTTTCCTACCTTTACTGGAATGCCAAGGATGAATCAGATGCATTAGATCTAGACATGACGCTGGACTTCCAAATGGCAATACATCGTCAAATATGAGTATGTACTTTCATCCTGATAGATGGCTAATGACTTTACTGTTTTAACAGGACAGAGACCTTGAAACTTGAAACCCTCTACAGTGCTATTCGGTCTATGAGGGCCGGCTCATTTATATGAAAACTGACAATATTTTGTCAGATTTTATATCAAATGACTAAAATTCTATCACTGGGCCCAAGATGCCACTTTCTCATTAATCAATAATTTACCAAGAGAAAAATGTCTGAAAAAATAAACCTTTTGGAGTTAAGACAGTAAGAGACCAGTGGAACTTGATGGTGTGAGTCTTTGCAGATTGGTTGCTATTGGTGATACCCTGTGACCTACACTCTTCTCTTCATAGTACCTTTATTTCACAGTGTTTCCAAAGAATTCTAGGACAGCTGATGTGGACTAAAGACAACATTTTTTTCTGATTTCTAGTAAAAACATTTCACGGAACTAGAAGAAGCAACATCCACCTTAAAAGGTCAGATAAATAACATATTATGAGTGAGTTTTTAATCAATCCTGATGTGCCTTGTGGCCTTTAAAAGCAGACTAGAAGATCAGCAATATCACTGAACTTTTCAATAATGTAATTTGTGATGCCTATAACTGCTGTGAAGGAGGTAGGTGAAGACCAGCTCTTAATTGATCCTACCCAGAAAAATGCAACTAGAGGGATGTATTTGGACATTAAAATAAAAAAGGATGACATTGTTTTTCAAAGCTATCACTTCACACACACACACAGGGACTTTCACATCACTCATCATAGCCAAAACTTGCGGCAACTTTAAAAATGCTGATGCAAAATCCTGCACAATTACATGTTGCAAATGCTCTCTATATATCTCCATCTACTATGTAAATGCATGAGACCAGAAACATGAAGAAAGATTTGCATCTGCTTTGAATTTGCAGATGGTGTCTTGTTGGGCTTTTGCTTGATAGTGTTTGTGAACCACCATAAAAATCTTCTACCAACTGGATAACTTCAGAGTAAAAACACAGAGCTGGCATTCCTTCAGAGGGAGGAGAAGGAGGTGCTTGTGAAGTTGTAACTATTGTCATTCACACTCCCCCTCTAAGACCACCTCTGCCCCTCTCCCTCTCCACTGTTGACATTCACAGGTATGCAAATGCTTGACATGAGGGTTTACATTTCAATAAGAAAAAAACAACCTCTCTTCCTTTGTGTGGGCTGAGAGCTGCTTGTGCCGGCAAGCCAATACAATTTCCATCAGTCAGAATAAATGCAAATGCTCTCTCAGATATAAACAAATAATTAAAGAGATCTTTGCAAAGATGTAAGGATGGATCTTCTTGTGAGGTACAGCTGCTGCAAAGTAAATGGTAATCGGACTATGTTTATATGGTGCTGGGTGGGAGTAGAATATAGTGCAAATTTGGGGACTCTGCAAGGTTTTAACAGACTCAAGATTTCAAAAACTCTTTAGTGTCTCCCAATAATCACACTTTCTGCAGACAATGATTAAAGCAGTGGCAGTGATAAGCATCTGTAATGATAAACACATGACCATGACTTCAGGGCAGCTCCCAGTGTCTCTGATTTCCCAGCTGACTGTCCTTTGAGGGATTATCCCTGAGGGTAAGTGGTGCTGTTCTGAGGCGAGGCCTGCTCGGGAAATCAGCCCTCACTTATGTGTCAACAAGGACATCCTTCTGAAAACACCTCCTCCTCCTCTTTTCTGATTTCACCTGCCCCTCATCCTCTCTGCCAGCCCCCAATTACCTCCACATTCCTCTGCTTCCACTGAATACCCCAAATTCCCCCTGATAATTGCCCCCACCCAACACCCCGCTAAAAGATTACCCCCATTTCACCCTCCCTAACCACCCATTGTCGCCTCTGTGTGAGCGACACTCTGATCCCAAACTCAGGCCTTGTTCTGCTCTGTTGTGTCTGTAATTGTCCTCTTCTGCTCAAAGGTATTTTAATTTACCTGCAGCTCTCCCTTAGGGAAAGTGAAGGCCTGAAGGTGTGGAGAGAGATGGACAGTTTTTGTAAGATGTTTCATCAGCACACAATATAGTTTTCTAGAAATAACAGGTGACGTTTTCACATCCGTCCCTGTGCTCCTTCGACTCCTGCCGTTAGTCACTCCACATTCCTGTGTCTCTTGTGTATAAAACAAGTGACTCCTGGGCTTTTGTTGTTGCAGCACACCTCCACATGCAGCATCCTTCCATTATCTGTTATCATTAGCCTGCTCGCTTGGTTGCTAAGGGAGGGAACAACCTTGATGCTTTTTATCTTTCTGTGACACAAATATGCAGCGTGGGCTCAGATTACAGAACGCTCACACCTTACTCATTCACAGCATGCCCCAAAAAGTCAGCTTCACTAAACAAGGAGAGATGCAGGAGAATGGGGGTGATTACTACTTTGAAAAAGCAAATTATACGGTTAGTCAACTGAACAGACAAATGTCTCTTTGACATCACATTTATTAATTCTAAAATTGTTCTATAGACGCCACAAAAATCTCCTCACCTGTGAACCAAATACTACCCTGATTTTGAGGTTAGATGCTATAAAATTCTGTAGGTCAGTATGCTAACTGTTTCTTTCTGGCTAAAGTTATCACCATTAACTAACCTGGCTCATGGACGGATGTTACACCATCCCTGGTTGGTTTGATAATCATAATATTTTCTTACTTTGTGTTGATTTTAATTGTAAAGTCTATCTGTTTCTTACAAGTTTTTTGTTTTAAGGTCATCATTTTTACATCTTAATCTTTTATTTTTATAGTTGTCAAAATTCTGTGTATGTAGCCTTAATTTACACTCTTTAAAGCACTTTGAGTCTTCTCTTTAAATTGCATTGCAGTGGCCGACAGGCAAAAAGCTGCAATGACTTAAATAGTGTCTATCAGGTAAAATTGCAGGAAATTCTAAGATGATGCATAAAAAAATTATATCGGAAATAAACTGAAAGAATAACAAAAAAGTGTTGCACAAAAGCTGAAACACATTTTTTGCACATGCACCTCAAATACTGAGAGGATGCAAACCTAAAAACACAATTAACAGCATCAGGCAAGTCAAACAGCGAAGAAAACAAACAAAAATGCTGCAAGAAAACTCAAACAGAAGCATTTACAGTACAAACAGAACCAACTTATAAATGGTGCAAATTCAAAAACATGCAATTGTATGTCTAGAAAATCTCAAAACACATGCACCAATAACAACTCAAACTTAAATAGATGACACAATTTCAAAGCAGGCTACACCAGCAATGTGCTGCAAGAATAACAAAGAGAAGTGCTTCTAAATACCAAAAGTAATGTGCTATGAAGTGCAAACATGCTGCAGAAACATGAATGAGTTCAGTTTAAATGAGTTACCATGTATAAAAGCACAAAAGCCAGGAGCTTTATTTGAATTCATAAACACAGGGAGAGTACAGTTAGCATGATAGTTCATGATCATGTACAGTATTTAGTCATAACAAAGCAGAAAACAGGCTCCCATAATGCACTCTGGGTGGAGTTGACTGCTGTGATGTGTTTTGTCCTGTGCCTACCCCCATGTAACTGTGTCTGCTAACAAATCCAGAGCACTAATTTCATATTTGCACTCAGCCACCTGTCAGCAGCCCTCTTATCAAAAATACATACCAGAGCGTAATCACAGAAGGCCAGGATGCCAAAATACCTCTGAGCACATGAGCGCCAGTGAAAGACGAGGGCAGGAGGGAGAGAAAAGTAGGACAAAGAGATGATACAGGTGCTGAGCAGTCCGTCACGTGAAACAGAACAAACGTTTTATTCTGTTTACCATGAAAATAGAAAGCTTTTGCTGTTTTGTTGCTGCGCTAAGGTCAAATTTGACACCATTTTCTGTGGCGAGTCTTCACGTTCATGGTATAAAGGGAAAAAAAGGATGCATAAAAGGTATGTAGAAGTAAGTGTTAGTGTGTGTGTGTGTGTGTGTGTGTGTGGGGTGGAGTTGGGGGGTTGAACAACATCAGCAGCAGTAGGGGCATGTCTGAACAGGTTACTGCAGCACAACAGGATCCATCCACATCCAGATTTGATGTAGGACTGTAAAAGCAGACGTTAGAAAAAGAAAGGAGGATTTTTTTCAAGACACCCATAATAATCTACATTTGACAGCATTTACTGTTATGACTCTTTGATATTTTTCATTAGCTGTGGAAGTCCTGTGCACGAATCGTTTTTTTTTTTCATGTCACCATTAGCAAACTGAGCACACTTATGTGTCACTGATGTCATTCTGAATCAGACTGTGAATATGTTTGGACATCACATCCTAGAGGGCAGATAGATCCCTCATGGCCTAGCTGTTAGAATTCCTGGTTGTCACCCAGGAGGCTGAATCGACTACCGGTATGGGAGCTACTTTTAAAACTGTCTTGCTGTATATAGATGGGAGTTTGTACATATTTATGTAATGTTTCATGTTTGTGCATAGAGGGCAAAATGAACCTGAGTCAATTTCCTTGCATGTGTACACATACTTGGCCTATAAAAGCAGATTTTGATTCAAGCAGACAAACAAAAAACACAAATGTTCAGTTTATCCCATAGTCAGCATTTCTGATCTCTGGGGAATTTATGGAAGGAACACATCATTCTCCTTTTAGCTTATACAGCCCACAAAGTGACACAAGAATAAAAGTTCTCTTTTTAAATGTAGATAAAAACTTTTTACGGAGGCTTTAAACTTCTCTAACAGTATTTTAAAAGGTTGGATTTTTCATCATTTGGCCATTATTTATGACATGCAAAGTTAAAGCTCCCATTTGGAGTTATTTATCAAGTGACAAATTGGAACTCAAATTAATGTAGATGCCTGTTGATGACCCACAAAAGTAAACATGACCATCAGCCAAAAGTTTGATCATTTCCCCATTACCATTAATAATGTTAAAAAGCTCTGGTGGGGGTAGATGTCATTCCAGCTTATTTATGGACTGCATATAGAATGGATGCTGTCTGCCTCCGAGTGGAGTGAAGCCACCGTGAGGACAGCACCCTCTGGTGACAGGTTGCAGTGTAGGTCATTAATCCCGCCTCCTCCAGCAATCCCTATGGAGCTGTGGACAAACCTTAGAAATTTATTTCACGGAATATATTTTTTTTCTCCCCCCTGCTTGTGATGTTGTCATGTAGTTATTGCATAACTCACCCAGGGGGATGCGCAATTTCAGCCGAGCGTCATCACAGCAACTCTCGGCGACTCTCCCGCTGAATGCGTACAACGCTACTGCACAAGCGGTGGTTCCAGATTTGATTCGAAGATTTGTCTGGACCCGAGTGCTGAACATGCATTATTAATTTCATCAAGCAGCAGCCCAGTTCACAATATTTCTGACAAGCAAAGAGCAACCTCACAGACAAACACTATTATATAAAATAAAGTACGTAACTAAAAGTGAAAAAGTTCCAGGTAGCCTCATCATATCAGACCAACTCCTTTGGCAGTTTCAACATGAAACCTTTTTTTTTTAAATATGGAAACTGAGTAAGAAAATAATAAAATGTTTTAATTTGGGAAAAACAAAAAACGTTTCTCAGAGACTTTAGTTAAATTTCGACATGCTAATCCTTCTCTCCTCTAAAACAGAGTCTCAGTGTTAACAGGGTACTCAGCCGGAGGTCCCACCTGTCGCTGCAGCTTTTCCCCTTCTCTCCTGTGTGTGTACAGCTCTCGTATCCACGTGTAGGCGGAGGCGCACGAGGTGGGGGGGGAATCAGCAGCGTCCAATCAGATGCGACCACCGCTGGAGCGCTATAAATGCCGCGTGCGCCCCTCAGCTTCAGCATTCACTCAGAGAGCTACCTTGAAGAGCCTACCGTCCTGATTTACTCAGCATCACTGAAGCATCTCCGGAACTGTCTGAGAGGATTAACTTTGGTCGTTTTTAATAGACGAAGGAAAAAGAATAAAACTCTGTCTTTTTTGGTCTGAAGAACGTTGGACGGAATAGAAAAATGCGTCTCATCCAGAACATGACAACCATCACGGAGTATCCCGCGTCGGAAAACTCGGTCTTCAACCGGGCCATCAAAATCGCGGTGATAGGAGGCAGCGGAGTGGGTAAAACAGGTGAGATACGGGTGAAAATCCTCGCTTTATCGATGACCTGTAGCGTGGTGTTGGACAGACTTGTTAAGTTTGTATTCTGTGTGAAAAAGGTCTCTAAACGAGTCTGTTTCTTTCTATTGTAGCGCTGGTGGTGAGATTCCTAACGAGGCGATTCATCGGAGATTACGAGAGAAATGCTGGTGAGTTCACGATGTTACATTTAAAAAAATGCATTGAATTAATTTACTTTGTAAAACACAAACCTGTTGGTGCAAATATTCACTTTTTTGCGTTATGTTTGCAGGTAATCTGTACTCCAGAGAGGTCCAAGTGGACTCAGAGCAGGTGACCATCCAGGTTCAGGACACCCCCGGTGTGGAGGTAAGAATTTTTTAAAATCTTTTTCCTTATTATTATTTTATTTTCTGCAGTAATACTCAAGAAAAGAAAAAAATAAGATAGTATATTTCACCGCCTGATCGGGCAAACTCCCTGGGCACCAAACCCACAGATGTGTGTGTGTGTGTTTCTGTGTGTGTCCTGATGTGAAATCAGCCCTTCAGTCTGGCCCTCTAATCTCCCGTTTAGTCTAATGGTTTAATGGATGTCTGAGGCCAGAGTAAATGATACCCTCATCCTAGTCCAGACTCCTCTGTCACCCACACCTCTGTGTTCAGGAGGAGAAACCTGAGAGCTGCAGTCTGCCTGCCTCACTCAGCACTCCTGCTCTTACTAAAGACCAGACACACACACACACACACACACACACACACACACACACACACTCATACGCACACAGAGTGATTGCTCTGGTCTGAATCCTGATCAGTTGTGGGGTTTTCAGTTTGGAATGATGTGAATCAAGACTGCCACTGATGAGAGTTTTACTAATTAAGTAATCTGCCCCATTTTTAAACAAGATATCGAACTCATTTCATTCATAAAGCTGTATTAAGTTCTGAAAATGCCAAATATAATTTACAAGAGTGAGAAATGCATTTTTATGCGACCATAATCAAACAAAGGAACTCAAAACTAAGTGTTAAAAATGAGAGAAATGTAAGAATCAAAGATGTTGTAGCCAGAAACATTCTTTCAGCACACAGCCCCCTTTATCAAACCACATCAGATTATTTTTACATCATAATTTCATTCACCAGTAAAATCTGTTATTAAAAGTTTTCCTGCTTCTAATCCGTCTTTCTTCGCTCCTCTCTTCCATAGATGACTGATAACGCCGTCAGCCTCCCTGATCATGTGACCTGCTCCATCCAGTGGGCAGATGCAGTGGTGCTTGTTTACTCCGTAACCGACCGCCGCAGCTTTGATCTGATCGATCAGTTGCACCAGCTGGTCGTCCGTGCGGGTGGCGCCAACATGCCTCCTGTCATCCTGCTTGCCAACAAGGCGGATCTGCTTCACCTAAGGCGGGTCGACTCCCAGCAGGGCCCCCTGCTGGCAGGAACCCTTGGGTGCTCCTTCTATGAAGTCTCCGCCAGCGAGGACTACAGCCAGGTGCACCAAGCTTTCCACCGACTGTGCTGCCAGCTCGCCAAACAGCCGCCGTCTCCCGCCTCCAACTCCGTTCCATCCTCATCCTCACATCAGAACTCTGCCAGTGCCGCCACAGAAAAAAGACGCTCGCCTCTCATCCCCAGACCCAAGTCTCCGAACATGCAGGACCTGAAGAGGAGGTTCAAGCAGGCACTGTCCGCCAAAGTCCGGACTGTCACCTCCGTGTGAAGAGGAGAACCTGAACATGGTCCAGAGAGACCAGAGAGAGAAAGAAAGCATTGAAGAAGAAGAAGGAGAAAGGAGGACGGTGAGGACTCTTGCTCCTTCTTCTAAGTCCTGCAGCAGTCTGTCTAAAGAGGGCAGATGTGCATTTGACAGCAAAGAGCTGCAGGAGGATGATTCCCTCCAGAGGAAAAGACCTCAAAGCTGCAGATGATGCTTGGTATCATGTGTGAGGAGGAGTTTGGAGGTATTTCAGGAGGAGAAAGGACACCTGAGGTGGACTGAGGCTCAGACTGTGTGAGCGTAAAATAAAAAACAAACTGTTTATCTCCAAGCAACAGCAGCGCTGAAGGACTCCGCTGCGTATGTTTAGCTGCCATTGTGTCGTTCTTAATTTAATCTGCACGGCTGAATGCTGGTATTAATATATCAGCCACTCGAGCCGAGGTGCTGTGCAGATGTGTGTTCACAAACCGAGTTAGGGTGTGTCAAAACAGCAGAGTATTTGATCCCGAATGATCAGAGGAGCGGATTCAGTATGTAGCATGTGGCAGTTTATCACTGATGCACTTTAAAAAATGGAAAACTCCAAAGGGCATATTGATATTTATTTGTTATAATTCACTATTTGTTCACAATAAAATGATGATGAATTTGAGAATGTCTCTGTTTTTATTTACACGTGTTAGACAGCAGGAATAAGCTGAAAAACAGGATAATAAAACTTCACTCTTAGTGTCCATGTGAGGTCCTTGTCTGCAGGTTGCTGCTCTTCAGGTGATGATTCACACCCCTGGATGCATCATGTCTTACAACAAAGCCTTAATAACACAGCCTGTGAATCACACTTGAAAGTGAGGCATGACTGTGCAGCTGTTTGTGGGGTTTGAGATCCACTGACTGAAAACTCTGCAGCCTGTGAGCCTAGACATCAATTTGATAAACAATATGAAAGCCTGAGTCAACACTGTCTCTGAGAGAGTTCGTGTAAGTTTTTAGGAGGCCTCTTCGGAGAATTATAAACTCCAAGAAGATGAGAAGAGAATGATATTAGGCCTTAATAAGTGTGTGTTTATGTTAGAGATTACTTTATTTACAGCCCAGAAAGCAATTAATGAGCCATGAATATCAAGTTTCAGGGCCAGGAGATCATCACAACACAGAACTGATGTGCTCTGTAGACTCTTCTTACGATTATCAGAGACCTCATGTAGAAAATACCACAGCAGTAGAGCAGAGATAGAAACAGGCGCCTGTGTTACCTTCATATCACTCTTTCCAAACGTGTTTTACATGCATTAGAAATACATCACATGCAGAATTTTTGAAAATATGCACTTTTTTAATAATTTGACTAGGGCTGCAGCTATTTAATATTTTAGTAACTGAGCATTCTACCGAACATCCCATCGATTAATCGAGTAATTGGATAATTTTTTTTGGTTAAAGTGCAATTATCGCCGAACATTTGCGGAACAAACTTTGGTGTTAGTGAACTGCATTGCTCGTAAGAAAGCTAATTATGATATTAACTTTCATCACGTCCCTTAAGACATTAATGTCAGAGAGCTGAATAGCTCCTATGTTACCTGCTACTTCTTCAATGTTAGACTCCGCCCACGGCTCAGAGGCGAAGCGCTAAAGAGCTACTGGAGCTCTGCAGAAGAGAAGCCTCTCTCATCATCATTCATTTTTTCCATTCTGCAAAACCAAAACTACGCTTCTTCTGCTGTGGTGACATAAGCGCGTTGTGTCACCTTAAAAATAATACATGTGTAACAGTGACAATTTGAGCTTATAAACGAGTATAAACAGAGAAAATTCTCCGATCAATCTTTGTACTCTAGGTACTCGGGGAACTGTTTCAGCCTTGCTTGACCCTGAGGTTGAACATCATAAAGGCACAGGAGGAGGTTAGGTCACTTCAACAGAATACGAAGAAGACAGGCCATCATATACATCTGAAAGGTACGGAGCTGCAAAGTTATCCATGTTTTCACCGTTTCACCAGTTAGCCTCTTGCTAACTTGTTTGTGGATTGTTTTGGTATATGACATGAAAAAATGAACTTCAAGGAAGTCTATCAACAATACTCTAAAAGGGACACCTACTCTTACCTTGACATACTAAGATCAATAAAAGGATAAAATAAAGCTTACAACAGCAGTCCAGTTAAATTTCTTAATGGAGCTGTAATCACATGATTTAACATCATTTAAATGAACTGGGTTGAGCGTTTACAACCTGATGGTGGGACCTACACTATGATGTTACTTGTATACAGAGGGTTGGGTCAAAGTGTTACTGGCATTACATTTTGATTGTTCATTTATTTGACGTCCCAGCTGAGTCTAAGGCTGTGCATCCTTGTACATAACTCCTACACCAAGCTTCCTTCAAAATGGAGGTAGAGAAGTCTCTTAAGGTCGCAGGAAGGAGGATGAAGGATAGAGGAGACAAGGATGCACCAAAAGAGAAATGACTCTTTGTCTCAGAAACAACCCAGAAAAGACTCTGTTGTTATTCACCCTGGGTTCAGGAGTGTAGGTGGAGGAATTACTGAGCTCTTTGATCGACTGACTCATGTTAAAGAGAATAAGCAGAGAGTGTATTCTGTATGTGTGTGTTTGTGTCTATATGTGTGTGAGTGGGGTGTTAGGTGAGCTCTAGGTGCAAGCAGATTATCAGCCTCAGCAGACGCTGTGAAACTACGTGTTAATTATTCTGCTCCTCTCTCTGTATGATGTGTGAAGGTGTGAATGGAGGTTGACAGAGAGTGTGTATTCTCTACACCACAACAGCAGCTCAGTCTCTGCTGAGCCTTTCACTTGTAATGAGTTCACACACACACACAAACACGACCTGCTTTCAACAGCCTGGTGCGATTGGCCAACAACTGAGAACGCAGGAGGGCTGTTCATACAAATGTGCGACCTCTGCTTGTTTGTGGGTGTAGGAAGAGAAATCTGGTCAACCCTAACAGGAAGTGTTGTGCAAAAAGAATCAAGAGTACACAACTCTCCACAGATGAAGGTTATGGAGGATTAACTCCATTAAAGAGCAGTTTATTACAGCTGAGCATGCAGCAGCTCTGCAGGTCAAAAGCCTGGATGAGGATACCATACAAGCTAACACCTTAACCGTTTTTGACATAACCACATTACAAACAAGGGGGCTGCTTTCCTGCAGGAAGTAGGGCAGTGGAAAGGGCAGGACCCTATGTAGAGAGGGTGGGGCATAACGAGGTATGAGTACAGATACCAAACCGTTATTGATTTTGTTTATAATCCCAGTCTTTGTGAGTTTTATCACCTTCACTGATCTGCTGACAAGTGAAGCCTGACAACTCCTTTACATGTTAGCTGATCACAGATACAGCCTCTGAGTAGACAAAAGACTACAACAAAGATGGCAGCCTCTACTCAGCACAGTCAGTTGAAAATAGTTGTGTCTAAATCCAGAGGCTGCAGCCACATTTGGAAACTGAATGCACAGTTGAAGTGTGTCACATTTTAAAGTCCCCTCCAAATGTAGCCCACAAATGTGTCCTATTTTTCCTGGACCACGAAGGCTGCATCAGGTACACCCTTTGCTGCCCCACTTGTGCGATCCTTTGTGGGCTGCTACAGTTAGAAAAAGTGGACTCTAAAACTGCCATGAAAAACGCTGCTAAATATAACAATCCGAAGTTTAAAAAGATCTTTGCGTTGTTGGTGATGGTCATGTGATGCGGGTCGTGCCGTAAGCACACAATCCTCCAACTGAAAGACAGACTGTTTTGATTCACTGCGCTGACAGACAAGAGGCATAATCCGTGTTCCCCTCCATTCGTCGTATATTGCTATCAGACGCCTCACTGCACAAAGCATTCTGGGACTCTTGCATCCCAGATGTAGCCGCCAGAGCAGAATTTTGAACTTTCCTTCTCTAATATGGCAAAATAATGACTTTGAAACAAACAGTGGTGTACAATGAAGTAAATACACATTTAGGATTGTGTCTGTATTGAAAAGACTTTAAGCTCCAGTAGTATGTAGTAGTAGTTTGTACTCTTGTAGTTTTTGGCATCCTCTGTGGACATTATAAAAAGACACCAATATGATTTTCAGACTACTTTCCAAATGTAAAAAACATCCTTGCATGAGTTTTGAATTTAGGACAACAAGTGATTCAGTGGAAGTGGGCGAACATCTCTTGAAGTCCTGGTCACCTCTGGTGTGTCTGCACCACCAGTTCAGCCCGACCCATCTGTGCAGGCCACAGTTGTGGATTCCTTTTAAGGCTGCAGCACCTGGATCGGGACACAGCTATAATTTCACTAAAATTAATACAAAAATCTTCACAGATTACCTTTATTTTTAAGAGATTGGACCAGGATAGTCTCTGGAGATACCCCTAACCTCTCTGTTAGACAGAAAAGCGCCTGGATGTTGCAGAAACACACAGATATTATCACAAGAAAGCCAGTAGTCTCATGTACAGAGGTGACAGTATCCCATGGCTACACCAGCTAGATCACTTCTGTGCAAACAATAGGCAACACACATCTGGTAAGTATTTTGGCTTCACTTTTTACACTGGAGGTGTGCTACCATATTAATATGGTTAGTGGTCATCACACGTTTTCACAGATTTCTCAGGCTTGATGACAAAAACTCATTCATGACAATCAGGACACAAAAATCTACAGGAACAACCAAAGGTGCTGCCAAACCTCTCTGTGCTAACTGCTATAAAGAAACTCTTTATTTTGATGACTGATGCATCTGCAGTCTACACTTTCAGCCCATATTCAACTCTCAGAAATAAAGTTTTGTTTGAAGGAATCAGCTCATATTAAAAGTAGTGCCGTGACAATCAAAAATAAGCAAAACTGAAAGGATGAATTCTCTCACCTGGGTAGGTTTTCTGGATAGAGAGGTTTTGTTTCAAAAATCATGTAAAAATATGATGATATGTGGACAAAAACCATAGATTGATGAAGTGTTTGTGCATAAACAGAGTTCCAACACATGACAGTGTATGTCAAGTAAGTGATTTTATTGAAACCCTTTAATAAACACTCTTTATCCACAGATTTCAGAAGAGGAAAAAAATCAATTGAACAAAAATTCGCCCTATTCAACAGAAAACAACCCTCCTTTATATATCTTATCTTCAATTATAGACATAGAATCAAACGAATGAGGACACGCTTAAATCAACGTGACAGGAATGTTGCTTTGTATGCTTTATATCCTTCAACAGTGAATCTCATTACTGCAGCGAGACCCACACCTGATGAGCTGCAGAAACCTTTGAGCGGTTGTGTGTCCTTCCACGTGAGCCTGCGGGTGTGTTTCCACGTGTCTTTTGCGTTTCAGATGCCAATACCAGGTGTCAGTCTCTGGGTGGCAAAGAGCAGCTCTGGGATATCGGTCGGCTGCAGTAATCTGGTGGACAAAACCAGCACCTGCAGTGGGGGATGACACAAACATTAAGGTTAAAATAGGTCTCAGCGTGTAACTAGACACCTGTGAGTGAAGCAGACACGAGTGATGGGGTGAGTAATGTGCAGGTTAGAGTCAACAAGGTGCATAAATCTGATGTTTTTGGCAGTTGGTTTGTTTGCATACTTTGACTTTATCACAGCTGCCAGGTGGATCAAGATTCTGTTTG